GCTCTTGCCAAAGCCACCACCTGAATGTTAGGAGAATGAATAAGCAAAGGGACCAAAACTGCTTCGCCATCTGTGGTGCAGAGTGACTGCTCGGGGACAGCTGCCCTGACCTGCCCCAGCAGGCACTGGACCTCCTGGGTGGGTGACCTCTCTAGACACCCACCCACGCTCTCAGCACAATACCTCTGCTCACTCAGAGGTTTCTAGAAATGGGGCATGACCTTCCAAAGAAGTAAAAGCCAAATCTGCCGCCATGAGAAGAGAAGCATTTGATGTCAATGGTAGAGGCACAGGGCAGTTGTCTAAAACAGGCGGGGGTTGGGGGGCGGGGAGGGGAGGCTCCCTCTGCTGCCAGCCCTCCACAGGCATCAGTACTGCTCATGGCGTACAGGGCAGCTCTACTACGTGGGGAAAGCTCCATTTCCAAATCGCTAACAGAATTTAGTGAAATTTCCAGAGGAAGCCCTGCCTTGGACTCACGTTGTCAGCTTGCTTGGTCCTGATCTGTCCATATCAGGTGAGAGGGGCTTACCACGGGTGCCAAGTCCCCGCCAGTCTACGTAAGTTCAGGCTGGGCTTTCTAGCCCAGGGAAATGGACCAAATCATGTCTCAAGTTGCCAGGACACCTCTTTCGGAAAACGGCTTTATGGAAGATGTAATCCATGCTTGTTTTCCACAGAGAGAGAGAGTTCAGAGCCCAGCTGGTAGTTTGAATAACAAGAAGGGAAAGCACCAGCCCCCAGTGGCTTCTTCACCTGCTTGGCACTTTGTGCCGTGGCTCCGCCCACCCACAGCTGCGCCAGGGCTTGGCAGCCAGAAGGCGGCGAGAGGGCAGGGCTGAGTCATGCCAGGTCCGAGCAATACCTGCGAATCCTGGCGCTCCCCTCCCCCACTCTCCCAGAGGATGGGACTGAAGGCAGGTTGAATCTGAAGGATTCCTGCTTCTCGTCGCAGACCTTCCCTCCAGAATGGAGCGCCTAGCTGTTTAGAAAGGAGGAGAGTCGGGTGTGAAGAGAGCAGAGCGCCTGAAGAATCGCTCCTCTGTGACTAACACATCCCACACAACCTGGGCTTATTCTCCACGTGCGACAGGATACTGTGACTTTCCTGTGACATTACGCCCTCTACATGGAAAAAATAAAAAGGAGGAAAGGCCAGGGGGAGAAAAGACGCCCTTTTAGAGTAAGAGGCAACATGTCAAACTCCTTCTCTGCCAACAGGTGGTGCATGGTTAGAAAGAACCTGACCTCGCCCTCTTCATTTTACAGCCCAGAAAGCTGCAAAAATAGGCTGCCAGCCTGGGCTGGAACTCCACTTTTCTATAATTAAATATATTTTATTGATTTTTTTTTACAGAGAAGAAGGGAGAGAGATAGAGAGCTAGAAACATCGATGAGAGAGAAATATCGACCAGCTGCCTCTTGCACACCCCCTACTGGGGATGTGCCTGCAACCAACATACATGCCTTTGACCGGAATCGAACCTGGGACCTTTCAGTCCGCAGACCCAACGCTCTACCACTGAGCCAAACCGGTTTCGGTGGAACTCCAGTTTTCTAATTCGTCCTGATGTCCTTTCCTCTCTGCCCACAAAGCAGTAACTGTCAGCATCAGCATTTGTGAGGGAGTGTGGCACTGTCCTTCAAGGAGAGACAGAAGTGCGTGGTCTGGAAAACGTGGGCCTAGGCACCAGGCCACGTGGGTAACAGCCTCAGCATCATCAAAGGCCAGTTGAAGGATGGGTAAGCTACTTAAGTCCTGAGCCTCAGTTTTCTCATTTGTAAAGCAGGGATGTTAATACCATCTCAGAAGATGTTAGAATGGGATTAATATGTGTAAATCCCTTAGTGCAGTGTCTAGCACGTAAGTGTGAGCTGTTGCTAGTAGGAAGCAACTGAGTCATTAAGGTCCTTTCTTCCTAATGCTGTGCCTGGAGTCTTTAGGTAAACGGAAGACTCCTCATCTACCCTTACGGTTCCCCATAACATGAGTTATTCCTGAAGCACCTGTAACAGTCTGATTCCGTTCCCCTACAAATCGCTGAGAACTCGAGCTCACCTGAGAAAGGAGCCTGTGAGGGCCTCCCAGGTTCTCACCATCTTCTCTCCCCTTTACCAAATGCAGCCTCTGCCCTCTGCCCTCTGGAAAACTGTTCCATTGATTCCCAGCTGTGCTCGGAGAGTGGGAATAACTGACCCCAAGCTGCTGCCTTTCGGGGCTTTATGATCCAAAGAAACAGATCCAGCCCTAGCTGGTTTGGCTCAGTGGACAGAGCATCAGTCTGTGGACTGAAAGGTCCCAGGTTGGATTCTGATCAAGGGCACATGCCCGGGTTGCAGACACGATCCCCAGTGGGGGGCATGCAGAAGGCAGCTGATCGATGATTCTCATCATTGATGTTTCTATCTCTCTCCCCTCTCCCTTCCTCTCTGAATAAATAAAAATATATTTTTTAAAAGAGAGAGAGAGAGAAAGAAAAGAAAAGAAGAGAAGAGAAAAGAAAAAAGAAAAGAAAGAAAAATAAAGAAAGATTTAGGCAGGGGGCAGGCACTGGGTAGACTGCAGTTACAGGGACCAATTGTTATTCACTGACAATTTTGACCTGATTTCTTTTTATCTCATTTTTACCTTGGTCAATACTCTGATCTCTAGGTCCTGAGAGGGTTGGGAAGAGGCGGGCACCAATTCAAACACGGCGCAGAAGACTTTAGAAGTCAGGCTGTGCTCTATAAATTGGCCAAAGTGGATTAGTGGCCTGCCAGTCAAGGGCACCCTCGGTTGCAGGCTGCCTGGTTGACTGGTCAATGTGTCTCTCTCACATAGATGTTTCTTCTCTCTGTGTGTCTCTCCCCCTCCCTTCTATTCCCTCTAAAAAAATCAATGGAAAAATATCCTCAGATGAGGATTAAAAATACATAAGTAACTAAATAAATAATTTGGCTAAAGACCTGTTACAGTCGCTACCCCTTGAACTGCGTTCCCTGGGTGTCCAGGTGTACTCACTTTTCTCCCCCAGAGCATCTCCAGGATCTTTCCGAAAGAGAAAGACGGTCTGGAGGTGCGGTCCCGCGGCTTGTCCCCCGCTCCCCACCCGGGCTAAATGGGGAGTGTGATTGCAGCAAGAATGAGGCGTGAAGGCGCCTGATCTTGCCAGACCTCTGGCTCTGGGAGGAGCGCGCCCCCTCTCAGCGCCCATCACACCCGGTAGGAGCCGAGGGCGGGTGAGGAGTGCCCACACCCCACACCCCGCACACACACCCACGATTTCTTTTTAAAAAAAAAAAAAGTTTACTGATTTTAGAGAAGAAGGGAAAGGGAGAGAAATAGGAACATCAATGGTGAGATTCATTGGTTGGCTGCCTCCTGCACGCCCCCCACTGGGCGGATCGAACCTGCAACCCGGGCCTGTGCCCTTGGCTGGACTGGGACCTGGGACCCTTTAGTCCACAGGCCAACCCTCTGTCCCCTGAGCCAAAGCGGTTCCTTTTGACGTTTTCCTGAGCCTCAGCACTCAACTTTCCCGCCGGGGAGGGGGCGGGCACTCTGGCCCCGCCCTCCGCGGGCTCCGCCTCCGCAGGTTGATGGCAGCAGCAGCTGGGACTGCAGTGGCGCCGGCCCCGGAGAGCCGCACGCAGCGGCCGGAGCGCAGCCCCACACCCGGCGGCCCCAGCGCCGCGGACACCGGAGCGGCAGTCCCGGCCCCTGACGCCTACCTCGGAGCCAGCGCGCCCCAGCTCCCTCCGCAGAGGACTCGCTGCGTGAGCGCCCCTCGCAGGACCAGGTATCCCCGTTCCCTCTCCACCCTCCACCCTCCTCCCTCCCCTCCCTGCCACCTTCGCAGACAGCGGAGCAGGCGAGATCTCTGGAGGGGGCACAGGATTGCACCCCCTCCCCCCTGCCGCCACAACCGTCCCGGTGAGGCAGGCTTGGTGTCTATATTTGGACGGGCAGCGGCCGGTGCCCAAAGGGTGCAGACACCTAGTCTCACAAGAACGCAGCGCTGGCTGGGGCAGGAGGCCCAAGGAGGGTTCGGGAAGTCCAGGCCTTAGGCCCCGGGCTGCAGAAGCAGCTTGAAGGGCACAGGGATGCCCGGCTGGTTAGGGGACAGGAGACAGTGGCTGGGCTTTGGGGAAGAGCGTAGGGCTGGTTCCAGCTGGAGAAAAGGCACCTCAGCCTCCCCACTCCTGCAAATCTGGCCCCAGCCCCGGGGTGGAGCACCCCATCCCCAGGAGAGTTTAGGAGGACTCGGGACTCAGAGGAGAAGCAGGACGGAAAGGGTGGTAGGCAGAAGGCAGAAGGCCACAGTCAGGGCCTTTGGGAGAAGCCAGTGCCCAGAGCAGAGGGAGGAAGATGACCCACCTTACACTGTGTCCCCCCAAAGCAACACGGAGGAGACTGATGAACACAGTAGCAGGACTCGGATTAGGTGACAGGAGGACCTTCTCCCTGGCAAATTTTTAGAAAACTACAAAACATCTGCCTGAACAATGCCAGAGATGAGGATGGTGGGGGGCTGCAGGCCTAGCCCCACAGCTAGCTCTGAGCCAGGATCCAAGGGCCAAGGCCTCTGATTCTGGACAAGGTGCCTCTGGCCGGTAAACCGACTCTGTGAAGAGATGCTCACCCAGGGCTGGCAGCGGGAGGGCAGTCTGGCCGTGAGGCTCCTCCCCAAACCACTTCAGCTTCCAGGAAGCGTTTGGGCCCAGTGGCCCCTCAGTCCGGATGTCTGAGAAGTGAGGCCCACCCAAATCCTAGCCCCTTGCGTTAAGCCCCACTTCACAGGTGGCCAAGAACTTTCTCATACTGTCATCACTTCGAAGAAAGCTCCCTGCTTCTAGGACCAGACTCTGAATTTATACCCAACTCCTGGCCAGATAACCCCCACCTCTCTCTCTCTCTCTCTCTCTCTCTCTCTCTCTCCCCCTGCCTCCCACAGTTCGCAGGACTAAGGACCGAAGGCGTTTCTGGGCACTGAGACCCTCCATCCCTGCCCGCAGCCATGAGCCGGCGCGTGGTTCGGCAGAGCAAGTTTCGCCACGTGTTTGGGCAGGCGGCGAAGGCTGACCAGGCCTACGAGGACATCCGTGTGTCCAAGGTCACGTGGGACAGCTCCTTCTGCGCCGTCAACCCCAAGTTCCTGGCCATCATCGTGGAGGCTGGGGGCGGAGGGGCCTTCATCGTCCTGCCTCTGGCCAAGGTGAGGGTGAGGAGGAGGAGGCTGGCGGGAGGACCCTGGCTGTGGCCCCCGGCCCTCCTGGCAGCAGCCTCTGTCCTCACCGAGTTCCATTCCTCAGTCAGCGGGCTGTGTGGGTTGGCTGCCCCCTGTTCCTCACCCCCTCACAGGCCCATCGGAGGCTCTTTCCCCTCCCAGAGCAGCGGCATCACAGCGGCCTGCACCCACTCACCGCCCAGCACCCTGGTCCCAACTGGGACCGGGAGTGGGTGATGGAGATAGTCAGGAAGCAGCGGAGTCAGGGCCTGGCCAGATTCTCTTCCTGTTTCTCCTGATGCCACACCCTCACAGATTCTGGGCGTGAGGATCTTTCTCCCCAGTCCAGGATAACCATTTGGCTCCATCACACCCCACAGCTTCACGCTGAGGACAGAGTCAGGCTCCCCAGAGGCCCTGGCCACCTCCCCACTCTGGTTCCTGCAGAGAGGGGTATGAGAACAGAGGTCAGGGGGTCATGACACAAGAGCCCAGAGCCCTGCTCCCTAACCCAGGTAATGACCACCCCCTTTGCTGAGTAGGCTGAAGCCCCGCCACCGTCTCCACTGCCAGCCTGACCACCCCACATATGACCTTGACCTGGATTCTGCCCCCTACACCTTGTCCGAGGAGGCCCCACAGGTGGCAGGAAGAGGCCTGACAATAGCCAATGACTCACTCCGGGACAATGCGGACACCATACAAGGACACCGTCCCCAGGGCTCAAATTTCAAGCGGGAGCCACCTCCTCCCCCCAGTTACTACTGTCACTCCAGTGCCACATAGCCACCCTTCTCCCCTACTGTCTGGGCCCATGCCAGCCCGGCCACGGCTTCAGAGCCCCTGCGAACAGCCCATAAAGACCAAAAATAGATGGGTCCCAGCGCAGGTTGGAGCATAGCAGGCACCAGGAGTGCCCGCTGCTTGTGGCTCCAAAGTAAACCAGTGACAAGGTGGAACTCTGCCAAGGGCGTCCGTGCTGCACTGCGTGCTGTCTCACCTTCACCTCTTCTGCCAGGGGCTTCCCATACTCATCCCATCCGGGCGCAGGCTCAGGAACATCCTCCTCCATGGAGGCATTTCGGAAGCGCATGGACTAAGAGCTCAAATCTTGGCTCTACCAGTATCTTGTGTGTCCTTGGTTAAGTCACCTGACCGCTCTGTGTCTAAGTCCCTGATATTAACTGACTTCTACTCTGTCTTCACGGAAGTACAGGGAGTAGGCTGATTGGGATTGGAGGTGCAGAGAGGGGTCTACAAAGAGAAAACCAATGGTGGAGACTTGAGATATAAACAGGTCCACTGCCCGCCCCCAAAACCACACAGGAGAGTGGCCCCACATCCTTCTCTCTCTCTCTCTCTCTCTCTCTCTCTCTCTCTCTCTCTCTCTCTCTCTCTCTCTCTTTCCCCCCTCCAGACAGGACGAGTGGATAAGAACCACCCACTGGTCACTGGGCACACTGCTCCTGTGCTGGACATCGACTGGTGTCCACATAATGACAATGTCATCGCCAGTGCCTCGGATGACACCACCATCATGGTAGGAGCCAGCTGGAAGCCACTGAGTGGCTGGGCAGGGGAAGCAGTGGGAGCTGGCTCACCTGTTCTAGAGAAGGTGGTGAAGGAGGTGCTGGGTCCCAGGGCCCTGTCCAGCCCAGCTCCCAGGCTATTTTTAGCTACATGCCCACTCCTTCCCAGGATGCACTGCTTAGGACTAATAATAACCATGGCCAATTTGGGGGTGAAGAGTAGGGAGTTACTGCTCTGAAGCCTCCCTGCTGAGGTGATTAAGATCTCTGGAGAGTGCCAAAACCGGTTTGCCTCAGTGGATAGAGCAACGGCCTGTGGACTGAAAGGTCCCAGGTTCGATTCCGGTCAAGGGCATGTACATTGGTTGCGGGCACATCCCTAGTGGGGGGTGTAGGAGGCAGCTGGTTGATGTTTCTCTCACATCGATATTTCCAGCTCTCTATTCCTCTTCCTTCTTCTCTGTAAAAAAATCAATATATATGCCAAAGTAGCTCCTCAGCCTCCCCGCCCTCTCTGCCTTTTCCTCCTACCAGGTGTGGCAGATTCCAGACTATACCCCTATGCGCAACATCACAGAGCCCATCATCACGCTAGAAGGTCACTCCAAGCGCGTGGGCATCCTCTCCTGGCACCCCACTGCCCGGAACGTCCTGCTCAGTGCAGGTCTGGGGGCCTAGCGAGGGATCCCCGCAGTAGATGGTGGAGGGAGGGTGGCCAAGGCAGGGCCGGGTGATGGTGACTGGCCGCTCCGGGCAGGTGGTGACAACGTGATCATCATCTGGAACGTGGGCACCGGGGAGGTGCTCCTGAGCCTGGACGACATGCACCCGGACATCATCCACAGCGTGTGCTGGAACAGCAACGGCAGCCTGCTGGCCACCACCTGCAAGGACAAGACCCTGCGCATTGTCGACCCCCGCAAGGGCCAGGTGGTGGCGGTGAGTGCCTGGCCTGGCCACTCCCCAGCCCCCACCCCGGGAACCAACCATCAGGCCCCTGAACCTGAACTCCTCTGAACCCCGATCCCAACCACGGGGGGGGGGGGGGGGGGCCAGTGCTTCCACCTCCGCCACCTCCCAGTGTCTGCAGCCACAGCTCCCTGCCCTGAGCCCTGAGCCTGGAATTCTCTGCCCCATGCCTCCTCCCTCCCCTCCCCTTCTCTCCCTTCCACCTCAGGAGCTCAGAGGAGGAGAGGAGTTGCAAACCATCCTCCCATTAGAACCTGCATGAAACCTGAGCTCCGGGACCCCTCTCCTCTCAGCCGGCACCCAGAGCCATCTTGGGGGCGGGGAGGGGAGGGACGGACACTGGCTTAGGGCCCAGCCCTTTCCGCCCACGCTGACCTGCTGGGCGGGGAGGGAGGAGAGGGGCCATCCTCGGGGGGAGAGAGGCCATCCTCGCGCGCTGCTGGGCTCGCCTGGGTGCGAGCGGCGGGGGGGTGGCGGCTGGCACCTGCCTCACCAGCCTCAGACTAACGCAGGGCGCGTGGGGCGCGTGCATGTGTGTCTGCGCCCCGTGTGTGTGCGCGCGGCCGGCCGGCGGGCCTCTAACCCACTAACCCCGCGAGCAGGAGCGAGCCCGGCCTCACGGGGGCGCCCGCCCGATGCGGGCCGTCTTCACCGCCGACGGGAAGCTGCTCAGCACCGGCTTCAGCAGGATGAGCGAGCGGCAACTCGCGCTCTGGGACCCGGTAGGCCAGGCCGCGCCGGGCGCGCGCTCGCGACTTGGCTAGGTCCGCCCGGAGCGCGCCGGGCCCGAGGGGGCGCCTTCCGGAGCAGCCTCGCCGCGTCCCCGGGACACCGGCACACCTCCCCCTGCTCCGGGGACCGGCCACCACCTGCCGAGACGTACGCCTCCAGGTCTCTCAGGGCCCGCCGCTCCCCAGGCCCGGGGACCTTTAGGCCCCTTTTTGTCCCCCCCCAACCCCCCCACGCTGGCCAGCAGGCTGCTGGGCCCTCCCTCCAGGACCCCCGGGGCAGGCAGCGGGGTGACACCTCTCCCTGTTTTCCCCTGCCCCCAGGAGAGGTTTGCGGCCCACGAGGGGATGAGGCCCATGCGGGCCGTCTTCACGCGCCAGGGCCATATCTTCACCACGGGCTTCACCCGCATGAGCCAGCGAGAGCTGGGCCTGTGGGACCCGGTAACGCAGCTGGACGCGCGGGGTGTGTGCCCCGGGGACTGGCATCACGGGAGCGGGGCCAGGCGTCCCCCCCGCCCGTAGGGCGAGCCCACCGGACCGGGCTGGAGGCTGCTGCCCTCCCTGCAGCGCCTCCCACGCCCACACTCACCCCTCCGCCCAGTTTTGCTGCTGCGTTGCCTGCAGGAGCCCACACTGGCGCCCCCGACTGGTGATGCCGAGTCCCTGGGGGTGGTGTGCGGTGACTGCATGCTGCGGAGAGGGCCTGTGTGCGGCGGTCCGGGAGGGGCGTGTCCGGGACCGGAACTGCGGCGGGAGCGCAGGGGTTCGGGTTGGGGCGGCGGGGGATCCAGAAGCGGGCAGGCGGGCCGGTCACGCCTCCTGTGCTCCGGCAGAACAACTTCGAGGAGCCGGTGGCGCTGCAGGAGATGGACACGAGCAACGGCGTCCTCCTGCCCTTCTACGACCCCGACTCCAGCATCGTCTACCTGTGCGGCAAGGTGCGCCCGCCGGGGGCCGGGCGGGGAGAGCGGGGCTGGCAGAGAGAGCGGGGGGGGGGCGGGGGGGGGAGGAGGGGGGGGCTTTGGAGTGCGGCTCTGAACCCGCCGGCTTTGCAGGGCGACAGCAGCATCCGGTACTTTGAGATCACCGAGGAGCCGCCCTTCGTGCACTACCTCAACACGTTCAGCAGCAAGGAGCCGCAGCGGGGCATGGGCTTCATGCCCAGGCGGGGGCTGGACGTCAGCAAGTGCGAGATCGCCCGGTCAGCAGCCCGCACCCATCCTTCCCGCGGGGAGACACGGGGCGGCCCCGATCGGGTGGTCTTCGGGGAAGCGGGTGTGGTGGGCGTCCAACCAGCTTGGCAGTCTCTGAACTTGGGTGTCCTCCTCTGTAAGAGGGTGGTCCGCACCCTCTGGGAGGCGTTCCCCCCTGGACTAACCACGCGCTTAAAGCTAATGCCCGGGAGGCGCTCCGCACGTGGGGGCCTCCAACCCCTTCCCAGGGAGACGCTAACGGGACGGGCGCCTGTGGGGTGCTGACCCCCCCCCCCCACTCCCTTACAGGTTCTACAAGTTGCACGAAAGGAAATGTGAGCCCATCATCATGACGGTGCCCCGCAAGGTGAGGGGCGGGGAGAGGGGCGGGGCGGGGCTCCGAGGTGGAAGGGGGCGGAGCAGGCCCGGCGCCTGCTAACCCTCACCTCCCTGTTCCTCCCCCGGCCCCCCACCATCACTCCTCCCCTCCCCCCACCCCGCAGTCAGACTTGTTCCAGGATGACCTGTATCCAGACACGCCGGGGCCCGAGCCGGCCCTGGAAGCGGACGAGTGGCTGTCGGGCCAGGACGCCGAGCCCGTGCTCATCTCGCTGCGGGACGGGTACGTGCCCCCCAAGCACCGCGAGCTCCGGGTCACCAAGCGCAACATCCTGGACGCGCGCCCGCCCTCCGGTCCCCGCCGCAGCCAGTCCGCCAGCGACGCCCCCTTATCGGTGAGATTCGGCCCAGGCCCAGACCCAGACCCCGCCCCCTCCCAGGCCCGCCCCTCCCAGACCCAGACCCCGCCCCCTCCCAAACCCGCCCCTCCCAGACCCAGACCCCGCCCCCTAACAGACCCAGACCCGGCCCAGACCCAGACCCAGGCCCCGCCCCCTCCCAAACCCGCCCCTCACAGACCCAGACCCCGCCCACTCCCAGACCAGACCAGACCCAGACCCAGTCTACACGTTCGTTCCCCACCCCCCATCCCCTCCCCCCGCCGACGCCTCCCCCTGTCCTCCCCCCGCAGCAGAACATGCTGGAGACGCTGCTGGAGCAGGTCAAGGCACTGCGCGAGCAGGTGCAGGCGCAGGAGCAGCGCATCACGGCGCTGGAGAACATGCTGTGCGAGCTGGTGGACGGCGACTAGCGCCGCCGCGGCAGCTCCGACCCCGGAGGGTGAGGCCGCCGGGCGCAGGGCGCAGCTGCCCGGGCTTTGGGTCTGCAACTTGGGAGCCCGCCTCTGGGCTGGGCGCGGGACTGGGAATGGAACTCCTTCCCTGGCGGGAAGCCTGGACAAGTGGAGCCTCGCGGGCGGAGACAGGTACCCGCCCGGCACCGCACCGCCGGCCGCCGCTGGCCGGGTGACGGGGCCTCAGCACCGGTGCTGCACGGCGAGACGGCGTCCGCCCGTCCCCTCGCTCGGGGCAGAGGAGTCCTTAGTTATTAGCGAGATGCTTGGGGACACTGGGGAACTTGGGCTTGGCCTCAAAGCGGTGGCGACTCGATAGACTAGCGGGGGGAGGGGCTAGTCCCTCTAATCAGGCCACGTGACTCCGCCCACGTGAGTGGTAAACCGGCGGATGCCACCCCAGTTCTACAGACACAATCCATTGGCTGTAGAGCTGGATCCGCCGGCTACGCCCAGCAGAGGGCGCTCTTTTCACCCACAGGGGAGGGCGGGCAAAAACTGGCCTGGGCCAGCAGGTTCACCCCCCACCACCTGCCTCACACACACTGCCCCCAGCCCCGTGTGGCCTCGGCTCCAGGAGGAAAACAAGTCATACTGAATGAAATCTTTTACTAAGTGTTCAGTCTGTGCCTCCTGCATGGGGCTTGTGTGTGTGTGTGTGTGTCTCTCTCTCTATGTGAGTGTGAGTGTGTGCATGTGTATGTATGTGTATGTGTGTGTGAGAGCATGTGTGTATGTGTGTGTGTGTGTGTGTAGAACAAGTCTCCCAGCCTCTACACATGCTATCCCCAGGCTCCCTGAGACACTGACAGGTGAGCTCAGGATCCAGCAGGTATCCTCTCCCCTCAGGGCCTCCCCACACAAGTTCAGAAGGAACCAGGCGAGTGTTCCTCCCAGTGAAGGCAGATAGGAAAAGCCTCAGGTTTGAAGCCTCTTTAATTTGTGCCTCAGAATCAGTCTGGTGCCCCTGGCATCAGGGAGGGGGTAAGAGGAACCGTTTCTCTTTGTTCTTTCTTTCCATCCTTTTGTGTCCCTTCTGAACCTCCCGGCTGAGCCAGGAAGGCCCGGCTGAGCGAACCCGGGCAAGGATGTGCCGTGGGCCCCTGCCCCCGGCAGGGTCTGTGCTTCTCTTGGTGGGTGGGGTGGGGCCGGGGAGAGCCGGGGGTTAGCACCATTGGATGAAGGGTTTTAGAATCAGCCCCTGGGCGGGGGCAGGTGGGACACACAACCACGTGGGCTAGCAGCAGCTGGTGGGAAGGGGTGGGTGGTGGTGCCAGGGCCTCGGGCAACCCCTCTGTATCCAGTCGAGTGTAGGGTCTAGAGCTTGCCCCCAGCCCAATATGTCTCCCATTTGACTAAAAAACATCATGTGGGAGCCAGGCTCACCCAGGTGTGGGGGGCCATGGTGGGCACCCTCCTGATCACAAAACAAAATGTCTTGGGGAAAGGGATCGCCAACCTCTGGCCGCCCACATGGAAGCTGGGACCACCCTGAGACCTGGGAGGGGTGTGAGGGCTGGGGGAGCTGGGCACCCCGCTAAGTGCACTTGACGCTGAAATGCTGGAGTGGGGGAGGGGCTGGGCCCTAGACGTGCTGGTTTGCGTCCGGAACAAAGCAGCAGCACAGCACTTGGGGAGCTCAGCTGCCCCCAGGGGCGAAGAGCGGAAATGCAAAGGCTTCGCGGGCAGTGTCCGGGGTGGGTCAGTGAGCAGGCAGCAGGAAGGCCAACCAGAAGGAGCAGGGATGGGGACGCTGCTCCTCTGAGGACCGGTCTCCCGCTCAGGGCCGCCTGGCTCTGCCCTTGGGTGGGGGAGAGGGCTGAGGGTCAGTGTCAGCCAAGCAGGGGGACCGGGCCGAGCCAGCTGCCTCCTGGCCCGGCCAGGAAAGGTACCCCGGGACCGTGCCGACCCCCTCCTGGTCCAGTGCCTGGTGCCTCCCTGCGCCCCGAGGCGGTGGCCCTGGCCTCCAGCCACGGCGCCTGTGCCCGGGGCCGGGGAGCCTCACTCCGCGGCGCTCACGTGGCGTGGCCGAGGCCGGGCAGCGGCACTACTGCTCGGTCAGCGAGAGCCTCAGGATCCGCTCCAGCTCCTCCTCCTCCTGGCGCGCCCGGCGCCGCCGCTCCTCCTGCTCCCGCGCCGACAGCTCCATGGCCAGCCGCAGCTGCTCGTCGTAGCTCGGGAACACGCGGCAGCCGGGGCCGGGCCGGGGGCCGGGCGCCGCCGTGGGGGTGGCGGGCTGGTGCTGCGGGGTGGGCGGGTCGCTCCTGGGGGCAAGGACGACACATCCAGGGCTCCGGGCACAACTGCGGGCGAGCGGGGCGGGAGCCAGTGTGGAGGCCCCGGGACCGAGCAGCCCTGCCCACCTCCCTGGCTCCCGCCGGGCATGGCACATCCCAGTCCCTGCAAAGCCCATCCTCCCAGGGGCAGCAGCCAGCGCGTGTGGGCATCTTCTCGAACCCTGGCCCTGACATCTGGCCCGGGGAGGGTCCCGAGGCCATGAGGAGTTCTGCTCACCCACCCGCAGGGTCAGAAAAGGGCGTGGTAGAACCATTTTGATTCCAGAGGTTCTTCTGGGCCGGAGGGGCTGTTCGGTGAGCAGTGTCCTCACCCACGGTGACAGGGTGTTGGGGTGTTTTGTGCGGGGGGGAGGGGGGTGGCATCTCCAAATCCTGGTGGACACTGACCTGTCCTGTCGGCGGCCCTCGCCGGACACGGGGTGAGTGCCCGGCTTGCTGTTGGTCAGCGCCTCCCAGATGGTGACCTGGCGGGAGAGGCGGGCCGGTCGGCTACGGCGGCCCCGCAGGCAGGCGGCCCTGGTCCCCGGCACGAACCTGGTCGTACTCACTGCCTGCCTCAAGCAGGCTCTGCTGGATGGCGAACTGCAGGAGGTCGTCGTCGTCCTCATGGCTCACTGCCTCCCGCTGGCCCCCCAGCACGCTGTAGCCTCGCGGGGCCTCGAACAGGGCGGGAGAGATCTCGCATCCACGGCAGGAGGCTGAGGGCAGGCTGAGGTCAGAGTGGCTCCCCAGGGAGGGGAAGAGGCTCTGGACAGCGGGCTGGGCGGGCGAGCTCAGGGGGCGGGGCAAGCTCTGGGGGCGCAAGGTGAGCTCAGGGGGGCGGGGCGAGCTCGGGGGGGGGGGGGGGAGGGAGGGCGGGGCGAGCTCAGAGGGGCGGGCGAGCTCAGGGGGCGGGGCAAGCTCAGGGGGGCAGGTGAGCTCAGGGGGTGGGGCGAGCTCAGGGGGGGCGGGTGAACTCAGGGGGCGGGGCGAGCTCAGGGGGGCGGGGCGAGCTCAGGGGGACAGGTGAGCTCAGGGGGCGGGGCGAGCTCAGAGGGGCGGGGCGAGCTCAGAGGGGCGGGACGAGCTCAGAAGGGCAAGGCGAGCTCCGGGGTGCAAGGTGAGCTCAGAGGGGCGGGGCGAGCTCAGAGGGGCGGGACGAGCTCAGAAGGGCAAGGCGAGCTCCGGGGTGCAAGGTGAGCTCAGAGGGGCGGGGCGAGCTCAGGGGGCGGGGCGAGCTCAGGGGGGCAGGCGGATCAGAGGAGCAGGTGAGCTCAGGGGGGGGCAGGGTGAGCTCAGGGGGCGGGGCGAGCTCAGAGGGGGCGGGGCGAGCTCAGAGGAAGCAGGTGAGCTCAGGGGGGCAGGGCGAGCTCAGGGGGCGGGGCGAGCTCAGAGGGGGCGGGGCGAGCTCAGTGGGCGGGGCGAGCTCAGAGGAAGCAGGTGATCTCAGGGGGGCAGGGTGAGCTCAGGGGGCAGGGTGAGCTCAGGGGGGCCGGGCGAGCTCAGGGGGCGCAAGGTGAGCTCAGGGGACAGGGCGAGCTCAGGGGGGGCAGGGCGAGCTGGGGGGGGGGGCAGCGCTCACTTGTGGAACTGGAGCTGCTGACGCTGGAGGAGTCGCTGCCGGGGGAAGGGGTCTCGCTGCCGGGGCTGCCCCGCACGGAAGGCACGGGCTCGTCGCAGCCGTTGAGGTTCCCGAAGGTGATGCGGGCGTTGAGGATGTGGAAGATGGGGATTTCTGAGGAGGAGGAAACCATCAGGTGCCACCACCCACCCCCTCACCCCGTAGACTGCCCCCTCTCCCTCCCCTACACCCACCCAGCCCCACAACAGCAGGCCGGGGCAGCGGGCCGGGGCTCACCGATCTTGACCGGGAAGCCGGGAGGCAGGCGCAGGGTAATGAAATCCCGGAGCTTGGCGAAAAGCGCGTTGCTCACAGCCATGAGGTCGATGATGGGAGCTACCTGCTCACACAGGGACAGGGGGTGCTCCTCACAAAGCCACAGCTTGGCCTTGAACCTGCCCCCCCAGAGTCCCAAGGGGTGAGGGACATTGTAGAAATGATGCTCCCGGAACCTTCTGGAGCCCCCGCTCCCCCTCCCCCCACCACCACCCTGCCCTGCCCACCCCTCCCTAGTGCCAGCCGGGGGCCTCACTTCTGTGTCTTGGTGGTCAGTTCCATGGGGCGGCCCATGTCACGGTTGCCAAGCTCGAAGTTGGGGTTGAAGTACTCTTCCGCGGTGATGGCAGTGGGGTTGGCTCGGCTCAGAGTCTGGGTGATGAGGGTCTGCACCGCACAGGGAGGGGCCATGAGCCCTTCTCAGCCTCGGGTGCCAGCCCAGCCATTTGTATCCCAGGCCTGGAGCCACCCCCACTGCCCCTGAGGTCTTGGGCATCATGGGAAAGAGGTCCTCCCAGGCATGCCAAGCAGGACACCTTCCGGGCCTTCTCCCGAGCCACATCCGTACCTTTCCACCAACGCCCCCCCCCTCGCCCACACTCACCCCGTTTTGGGGGCCCCCGTGCTGCTCGGCAATTCCCAGGAAGGACTGCAGTGGTGTCTTGCAACCTGTGAGAAAGGTGGCATCCTGGAGGACACCGCAGCCCTCGGAAGTCACAGCACCCAAGTCCGAGGCAGGAGGGTGACCCCTGGGGGCGGGGCAGCTGCTTGTCCACACCAACATCCAGGCCCTTCCTCTGAAGGGGCTGAGGACGCCAGGGCGGGGCCAGGACCACTCTCTCTACAGCTGGCATGAAAAGCAGGCCTCGGGCTCAGGGTAAACGTCCAGCGTCACCCTCCAGTCGATGGCACTGGACACAAATACCTGCGTTTGGTGAGCAGTTCTGGAATATACATGTGTATGTACGTTTTCTTTCAGGCACCTCCATATTCACTTGTTCTCCTGTGAGGTGGGAATTGTGTCTCTGCTTTGGACACCACAAATGCCCAGACCTCAAGTGTAGTATCAAGAAGCACGGAATCAGTGGCCCGGACTTTCAGCCTAGGGTATGTCTCTCCAGGCTGGAAGGACCACCAAAGGGCAGCCATGACACTTCTCTCCCTTCCCAAACCCCACGCAGACTCTGGTCACGGGGCCCAACCAAATGACGCCTTGGAATCACCTTGGCAGCACGCAGGCAGCCACTGCCAACCTGAGGCCTCGGCCCTTGAGTGGGAACCTATTTGCCTGAATAGACGATCCTGGCTTTTGCGAGGAGGTCAGAGGGGATGCTGATGGAGGTGTTCATGCGGCAGCCTGTTCCTCACAGCCCCCCACGTGCCTCTGCCCCGTTACCTTTGACCTTGCCCTTGTGCTGTTCTGAAAGATGCTCTGTCCGTGTCCGGGTGATGAGTTCCACATTGGATGCCCCGTACACCTGGGGAGAGATGAGGAAAGAGCTCACAGACCACTGGTGTCCCTGCCCCTGGCTCCCCAGGACTTTCCGAACTCTTCCTGCAAGGAAGGGCCTGGGGCAGGCGACAGGGGAGCTGTCTGCTCCTAACCCCAGGCCTTTGAGCAAGTAGATCTATGATGTCAGTAATTCACTCTCTCATTCGTTCAGCAAACGTTTTGTGAGGAGTCCTTGTGAGCTGGGCTGAGGCGGGCATCAGGGATACCGAGGTGCGCAAGCACAGCCAGACATGATCCCGGCCCTCTTGGGGCTCACGGTTAAGTTGAAGAGACAAGAAAGTCGACAGTGCCCGTGTGATGGGGACATGCCTCAGTGTGGGGAGCGCAGGGCTGAGGGGACAAAATGCGGAGACTCTGACCAGCCTACGGAACTCAGGAGACTCCAGGAGGAAAACACAAGCCCTGCAGCACCTGCCGGCCCCTTCGCTCAGCGGTGGCACCATGTGGCCCTGGAGTGGGCTGTGGGGTCCCAGAGGGGCCTGGCTTTGGGGTTAGGTGGCCGGGGTCTGAACCTGAGCTGTCACTCAGTTATGTGACCGTGTACAGGTCATTTAACAGCCCCGAGCCTCCTTTTCCTCCTCCTTAGATGGGCTGACACCCTACTTCATAGAGCTGTTGTGAAGGTTATTGAGCCGTGGAAGGGGTTCAATGATCATCTGAATGCACCCCTATGTTCACAGCAGCACAAGCTACAACAGCCAGAATCTGGAAACAGCCTGGGTGCCCGTCAGCAGAGGACTGGATCCAAAAACCATGGCACATCTACGCCATGGCATACTATGCTGCCATAAAAAAGAAGGAATTCTCATCGTTTGCAGCAACCTGGATGGAATTGGAGAACATCATGCTGAGTGAAATAAGCCAGTCAATGAAAGAGAAACACCACGTGACCTCACTCATTTATGGATATTAAAGAACATTATGAACTGACGAACCAAAAGTCAGATATAAAGACAGTAAAGCAACGAGGAGACTGTCAAATTATAGCGGGGAGGGTAGGGAGATCTGAGGGAGATAGATCAACCGAAGGACTTGTATACATGCATATAAGTACAACCAATGGACACAAAACTCTGGGGAGGGAGGGTATATATGGGGGGGGGGGGGCAATGTTAAAATATGTACACAGATAATAATTTTTTAAAAATTTGCAGAAGTCTGTATCTATTTTGGACCATAATAATTAAAATAATTTTTATAACTTGCCTTATTCATAATAAAATAATTTCCTAATTTAAAAAAAATAATAATCATCTGTAAAATGGGATTAATAATAGTACCAACCGGAAGGGGTTGTTATGAGGATTAAATGAGCACACGCGTGTGTATGCCTGTGTGATAGGTACACATGCATGTATGTGTGCATGTGTATCTATACATATATATAAAATGTCAGAATAGTAAGTGCTCAATAAGCCCTGACCATTCTCTTCAGCTGCCTCTTACACTGGTGCCCTTCCCTCAATGCTGTACGGTGTCTGCAGCCCCAAGGCTGAGAGAAGGTTCAGGAAACCCTGGCCCGGCTCCCCGTGGGCGAGAGTGTGGCGGGGTCTGGCACCGGGGAGCTACCAGGACCTCACCTTGGCCTCGTACCCGTTCACCATCTCCGTCTTCTCGCTGCGCCAGCCCAGGATGCCCGTCTTGTTCCTGCGGGGTCAGAGCGTCCAGGTGAGGAGGCAGCCCACCGGGCAGGCTCCCGGCCCCCGAGACCACCCCTCTCACCTCTCAAAGGAGATGTTCTTGGTGTCGAGCTGCGTGGTGACCACGGGCGCCGCCAGCCGGCTCAGCACCTGCTCCTCCGTGGGCTGGACGGCAGCCAGCAGCAGCTCGCGGTCCTGCCCGGCCAGCGCCAGCGTCTCCGTGTACACCACCCGGCGGTCGTGGTCGATCTCCATGACCACGGCGCTGGTGTCTGCCGGCCGCGGACAGCACAGAGGTGAGGGGCAGCACGGGGCTGCCTCCGGCCTCCCCACCCGCCCGCCTCCTGCCGGCCTGACCTTGGCCCCTGAAGACGAAGCTGCGGTTCCCTCGCTGCCACGTCATGTGGTCGAAGCCCAGCAGGGTGGTGTCCACCCGCAGGTTCTGCCCGCTCTTCCACACTCGGTAGGTGTCGCTGGGGCAGATCTTGGACACCAGGGGCACTAGGTGGGAGGGAGGGTCAGAGATGGCTTCGATTTGCCACACTCACCCAACGAAGGCCACCTCAGGGCATGGGGCCAGGTGTGGCCAGGAAAGGCTAAGGGACCTGGTAGGCGATAAACTGTTCCCCCCCAGTGTGTGCGGGCCTCCCCCCCACCCCCAAACATAGACCACAGTCACTTAGATATGAGCAATCAGGTCGGAGACAGGCCTGTGTCAGCCACCACCCAGTCCCTAATACCCACCACCCACTCCATCCTTCACCCGTCTCCCAACAGATACTCATTAAACACCTACTGTGCGCACAGTCACCGGGGATACAACATTGAACAAGACAGGACCCCTGCCATCTCGGAGCTTACCTTCCAGCAAGACAGGTAACAAACAAATGAGCAACTCAGTGCAAAGAGGAGGAAATAATAAGAACGGGATTGAGGCGGTGTCTGAGGTGGTGCGCTAAGGCCCGGCTGGTGGCCCTGAGCCGAGAACCGAAAGAGGAGGAGCGACAGCAAGAGCTACGGGGAGAGCGTGGCGGGCCGGGGAGCGGCAGGTGCAAAGGCCCCGAGGCCCAGGGAGACCCGATGGGCCCCTCTTACCCCAGCTCGTGAACTCCCACTTCATCTCCACATAGAAGTCCTGGGCCTGGAGGGCGAAAGGAGAGTGGCGAGGCCTGTGCTGCAGACCGGGCTCCGGGCACCGGGCTCCGGGCCTCCGTGGGGGCGCCGAGCGGGGCCTCACCTTGCGGAGCTTCTCCAGGAGCACGGGGATGCCCGCCAGCCGCTTCACCACCCGCTGGTAGTCCCGGTACCGCAGCACCAGCTGCACCAGCTCCAGGTCCCGCGTGCTCACAGCCTCCTGGAGCACTGGGGGAGGGGGAGGGGGAAGGGGAGGGGGAGGTGAGGATACGATGCTGGGGAAACCCTGGCTGGGGGCCTGGGGTTGGCAGGGTGCCCACCTGTCCAGCCGCTGCGGTTCTCCCTGCCCACATCTGCCCCGTGTGTCAGCAGCACACGGGCACACTCGAGGTGCCCCAGCGTGGTGGCCAGGTGCAGCGGAGTCCGCCCACGGGGGTCCAGTTGCTCGATGTCCACCTGGAGAAGGAGGTGAAGACCAAGCCCTGGTCACTCCCAAAGCAGCCCCGTCCTCCCCGCCTGAACCCAGAGCCTCTCGGAAGGCAGCAGCCGCCTTGCCACCCGCCTTGCGCGTCGCATGAAGCACTGGGAAGACAGACGCGGTTAGCTGGGGCCAGGGGCGTGGAGAGGGGCTTGTGGGACGGGACAGGAAGTAGCTCTGAGAGAGGGAGGGCCTTCCTCCTTTCCTGTCCACTAGGTCCCCTGACAGGTCCCCTCCTCCACGCCCAGGGGCTGCCGTGGAGGGTAAGCCTGGGGCCGGCAGGTGGTCTAGAGAGGCTGCGGGCCAAGCAGGGCCGCCGAGACAGGACACATCCCAGGCGCCCAGGCCCACCTCAGGAAGGGCCACCAATTTCATCTTTGACGTTATCGCTGAGTTTTAGCAAACCTTGGCAGAATTACATTATAGGAATGAAAGAATATGTTCACGGTACCTGTGGGATACTATGTACTATCATTTTTTAAAACATTGTTTTATTGATTCAGAGAGGAAGGGAGAGGGAGAGAGAGAAACATCAATGAGAGAGAACCATTGATTGACTGCCTCCTCCATGCCGCCTACTAGGGATCAAGCCCGAAACTCAGAAGGGCATGTGCCCTTGACTGGAATCGAACCCAGGACCCTTGAGTCCACAAGCCAATGCTCTAGCCACTGAGCCAAACCAGCGAGGGCTGTGAGAGCCCAGGCCCATCCCTGCCTCAGCCAGATCGCCCCCTCTCACCCCAGCGGGAGAACAGAGAAACCGGAGACACAAAGGCCTCTGGGTACAGACACTTGGGAATCCTACAGCAAGCAGGCCCGCTTGCCACTCATCACCTTCCAGGAGTGCCTAGCACCCAGGCACCAGTAAGCTCCACAGCCCCATTCTCCTTCTTTTTCAAATTGATTTAAGAGAGAGAAACATGTATTTGTTGTTCCACTTATTTATGCATCCGTTGCTGGTTTCTTGTATGTGCCCTGACCGGGGATCGAACCCACCACAACCTTGGTGTATTAAGATGACGTTCTAACCAACTGCGCTACCAGGCCAGGATGCCCTATTCTTACTCGTAAATATGCCCCACAGGCAGGGAGGACTGGACATTTGAGGAAAGCTGCCAACATAAGAGACCAAAACAGGCAAATGGATTTTTTAAACTCAGAGGAAACACTGTGTCACTGCAGGAAACAGAAGAAAACTTTTTTGGAGGAAAACAGCAATTTGCATCCTCAGAGAAATAGGAAAAGGTCCTTGTACTCACGAAACAGAACGGGACAGCGTGGCCTCCCCATGACCTCCCGTCCGTCACCCGGCTTCCTTCCGGCCAGCCATTCCCGGCGGCCGCACCTGCCCCAGCGCTCCCTCCGCAGGAAACGGGCCTCATTCACTCCCTTTCCAGGTTACAGAGCCTCCAAACCCTCTCTCTCTCTCCTTTTCTCTCTTCCTTTTCTCTCACCTCTTATACCTGATCCACTGGCAAAACCTCCCCTTAGCAGCTCTCCCTTCAAAACAGGTCCAGGGTCTTCTCAGTTTCACCCCCTCGGGCTGCCGTCTGCCTCAGGCGTCCCGTCTCGCCTCACCGGTCTCTCCATCCCCCTCCCGACTCCTGCCTCAGGTCCAGCCCCGCACGGCCCAGCCAGAGCGGCTGCCGCCATCCCTCGAAACGCCCGTCCCGGGGTCCTTTAGCTCCAAGCCTGGCTTCCCACCCCATAGGATGGGACGTCTCCTTGAACTCATGCGCTCCCCGCCTCTGCTCCCTCCAAACTGCACTCCCCACCCCGGCCTTCCCCGCAGCCATCTCCTCCTGCTCAGGCCGGATGCCACCTCCTCAGAGAGGCCTGGCCGACAGCACATCCTCGGTGACAGGTGCTATTTGTCTGGCCATTGACCCTTACCTCGCATTGGTTCTCTTTCAACATGAAATCGCTGGTTGGTCGGTTGGTTTGTTTTCGTGGCCTCCCGGACCTGAACTGTAAGCCCCACAGAAGGAGGGTCCCTCTCGGCTCTGTTCACCGCTGGACGCCCAGGTCCCAGGCAGCCCGTAACTGGCGTGTAACCAACCCATGTGCAACCAGCACACAGATGACTAAGCCTGAGGGACACGGGGAGGGGATGGCCATAAAGGGTGAGATGGCCGAAACCGGTTTGACTCAGTGGATGGAGCATAGGCCTGCAGACTGGAGGGTCCCAGGTTCGATTCCGGTCAGGGGCATGTACATTGGTTGCAGGCACATCCCCAGGTGAGGGGTGTGCAGGAGGCAGCTGGTTGATGTTTCTCTCTCATCGATGTTTCTAGCTCTCTATCGCTCTCCCTTCCTCTCTGTGAAAAATCAATAAAATATATATTTTTTAAAAGAAAAGAAAGAAAGGGTGAGATGGAGAAGCCACGGGATAGTTGCGGAAGTATGCTGTTGCTAATCGTGGAGGTGAATAACACAAGGTGGTCGCCTCTGGGGAATGAGGTGCGAGGTGGGAGAGGCAGAGGGAGGACGGCTGCTTTTCATTATAAGCCTTCTACCGACAGTTAAAACACGGATAGGAGCGCCTTTGTAAAAAAGAAAGCACTTTAAATTATGCATATTATTTTTTCTAACCTGTGTTGGCATTTCTTCATTTTCAAATATACCAGGAGCCTCCAAAAAGAGTACCTGGCTGGCTCCTGTGGCCCGCGGAGCTGTGACTCAGAAATGTGAGTGGCTCCCCTGCTCCTCCACTCCAGCTCCCCACGGAGGGAGAACATGGGGCCCTCAAGGCCCCGCCCCGGGTGGGGTCCTGAGCCCTGGGTGGGAGGGGGCTGGGCAGTCAGGAGGCCTCCCCGTGGGGCTGCAGCAAAGCCATCTCACCAGCCCTGCCCCAGAGGCTGCTGCTAACAAGGCCCCAGGGAGCTGGCAGGACACCCAGCCTGGCCCCGGGGCTCCAGAGAGAGGCTGGCACTGCCTGCAGGGCAGGGTGCCCCTCCTCCCTCCCACTCCTCCAGAGATCTACCCACACCCTCCTCAGCGTCCCCGGGGCACAGCTGTTTTCCAAGGGCCCTGCCTGTACCCAACTGAGCCCCACAGACGCCCCCACCTGCCCAAAGCGGCCCCAGGCGGGAGAATTCATTAATTTCCCCAGCAAAGCCTGAAGCTATTTAATTGCTGGAATGAAAAGGTTTCCCGTGAAACCCAACACCGTGCTCCTCTCCGAGAATGGAAACCCCGAAACCCAGCAGGCCTCAGCCGGGCCGCACGCAGGGGTCTCTCCAGCTTAAGAGCCAGGGCTCCCAGGAGGTCCCCGCTCCCGAGAGGTCCCCCCTCAGGCACACACACGTGCACGTGCACACACCGTAAGGATGCGCACTCACACCCCTGCCTCCACACTCACCGTATGTGTGTACTCAAAGGGTGCAAGCACATGCGAGCCAGCCGGCCGCCCTCTGGCTCTACAGGTGTCTACTCATGTGTAACACGCGTGATGGCTGCCAGCATACCAGCACATGCACACCCCTCACATCCACGCGCACGAGCAGGGTATATTTTCACACTCGTTTAGCATTAGCAGGATCCTTTTGTTAGGTGAAATCTTACAAGGACACACCAAATGCATAGACAGAGCGTGGGTGCTGGAGAGGAAGGCAGCCGGCCCCGTGGGTGAGGCCTGGCCTGCTCAGTCTCTCTCTCTCTTCCCTGGCCCCCTCCCTCCTCCGGCCCCAGGGGGACAGCTGGGGTCTGGTGCGGTCACTGCTTCCCAGTCCTCTCGCCGGCCCATGAGGTGAAGGGACACGTGTGTCTGAGTCACTCAGCGGGGAGAGAAGCAGGATGCTCCCTCAAGCTGGGCTGAGCAGGTGGGGGTGGCACCTGCTCACTCTCGCTTCACCCCGCCTCCTCCATCCTGCCCCCCGCAGCCCCGCCCCTCAGCCCAGACACATTGATTTCTGGTTTCTGGGGTTTGTGGCTCTCTCCCCTGAGCTTCCCAACCCACCTGCTGTGGTGATGGCCCACACCTGAACTCACTTTTGGGAGGGGGGGCGGTGAAGGGGGGGCATAGGTGCTCAGGAACACAATAGGTACCTTGGGAGGGGCAGCGTCTGAGCATCTGGGGGCCCCACAATCCCATCTCCCCCGCCTCCAGGTCAGAGGGATGAACTGGGAGAGCAGGAAGGAAGTCGTGGTGGAGGCAGCCCCAGGAAGAAAGATGTTTCCCTAGAAGCACAGCCTGGCCCTCTCCAGAGGGCCTGTTGCCAGGGGAGGAATCCTGCCCCCTCTGCCCTCCCACAGGGAGCCGTACACGCCAGCCTCCCCCTCCCACCCCCAGGGAACTCCAGAGACTGGTGACTCTAGAGCCAGGGCCACGGCCAGCTGGCTGTGCCGTCCTCAGGACTTTGCCAGCCAAGAGGGAACTGGCACATCCCGGCCCCCTCCCAACTTGGCAAAGCAGGAAACCGGGCACCCAGCAACCATGTGCTGCTGGGTGCCAGCGAGGGGTGGTCATGGGCCCTTCCCTTCACCAAAACACACCCTCTCAGCACCTCCCGTCTCCGGACCACTCCCTGCTTCCAGCCCCAAAGGAGCTGGGGGGTGGGGACTGAGCAAAAAGGCCCATGAACTTGCTCTGGAGCCTGCCATCCCAGCCCATCCCCCTCTCTGGCAGACAGCACTGCCAAGCCTGCCCTCAGGAGGCCTCTGCGGGGCTTCTCGCCGCTGTGCCAGGTGACAGCCGGGGAAGCCCAGATGCTGTGTTCTGTGACGGTTTGTGCCAGGAGGACCAGAGGCCAGGGCCTCCCAGCCGGAATGCCAGGGGTTTGCGGTGGCTTTAGGATGGTGGGTGGCTGCCCCCAGGCCCACCCTCTGCAGGACACGGTAGGCTGGGCACCTTCCCCTCTCCATGGGAGCCGGAGGCCCTGGAGACTGAGCAGGGCACGTGTGGACACCAGTGTCATTCTGGGTCAGGCCTGAAGATAAGACACAGCCAGGGGCCTCTCCCTCCCAGACTGACTGGCACCCCCCTTCGTGGCAAGCGCAGAGCCAAGGAGAGGACTGGCCTGATTCCCCGGTGGCTGAACAAGGGTTAACCTCAACCAGCGCCCTATATTCCCCCTGGCCTGGATCGGAGCAAGTGGTGTCCATTTCCAGGAGACACTAACTCACCCGGGCGGGTGGAGGCGGGGATGGGGTGAAGCTGGTGCCCGGTGTCTGTGGCAGCCCGAGGGGAGGAAAAGAGGAGCAGGCACTGCAGCCCCGAACCACCCCTCCCTACAGCGGGCTCCGGAGCTCACCACCCCAGCCTCCCCGGGGAAGATGGCTGCTGGACCAAGCACCCTCCTCGGAGGGGCCTGGGTGAAAGAGCCTTGACTCCGGGGGCCTCTTGCCTCTGCCCAGTCTCTGCAAAAATAAGACCATCCACCTCTGCAGCCAAGGAGTGTGACTGAGGCACTCTGCCTACCAACCCTTCCACCCACCATCCCTCAACCACCCCGTCAGCAAGTTCCTCTCCGGCCAGCCTTACATCCCTCCAGCTGTGACCTTTGTCAGAAACTTGTCTTCTTTTGTCCTCGGGGGACAGAGCAGGGGGGAGCCGGGAGGGACTGGACAGTCCTTGGCTCAGCACCCGGCACTTCACACTGCCCGTCCCCGTTCACACATCCCCGCACTCTCTGTGCCAGGCCCCTGTGGTGAAAGCCACCTCCTCAAGGATGGACAAACAGAGGCACGGGCTGAGGAGCAAGCTCCAGCACCCCTGCGTGAGCGGAGGTCAAGTGTGAGCGGACACCCCAACCAGCCCAGACACTTGGAGGCTCAGGTCACCCCAACATCTCCCAGGACGGCTCCGCAGCCATGATGCTGAGCTGGCCGGGGGGCTCCGCGGTAGGCAGGCTTCGGACCTTTGCCTGCTTCGCTGTCTGGCGATGCCCTCCTCCTGCCTCGGGAAGCAGGCAGCTGTTCAGACTGAACTCCCTGTGACTCAGGAAGCGGCCCCCAGAGGGGGCAACTCCTGGGCGAACCACTCCCAGCAAACGGCCCCAGGGCTGCGGCCCAGTCTGCAGGCCTCTGCGGAGGCCACCCGGGGCAGGCGGGGCCCAGCTCCGGCTTCCCCCTGCGGAGGGGGACGGCCATGCCCAGTGCCTACCTGTGGCCTGAGGGGCCAGGGTGGAGTTGGGAACCACGTGTGACCTGGGCCTGCCTGCCTGCCTGCCTGCCTGCCTCCTGGAGAATGACCAGGAGACCCCACATTCTTGGAAGCCACCGTCGAGCAAAAGCTGGCTGACCCATCTGTGCTCACTGACTTGCAAGAACCAGGGAGCCTGCTGTGTGTGCAGAACCTCAGGTCATCCCGGCGGCCCGGGGCTCGCGGCTTCCTCAGAACCAAAGGACAGGAGAGCGGCTTTCAGCAACGGGGACAAAGCCCTCGGGGCTTCCCCAGAAGGTCTCTCCTTCTCCAACACCCATTACCAAGCCGGTCCTGGGGTCTGAGGGATCCAGGGGCTCTGCCCAGCCCGAGAAAAGATAAGCACTCCCCGTGAGGGCAGAGGGCACTGGGTGGGGCTGGTGCCAGGGAGTGTCACACAGCCTATTCTCCGACCCTGGGTTTATGGACACACGACGCCCCCTCCCCGACTTGCCCACCTCCGCACACTCCCCCGGGAGGGAGATGGCTGAGCGGGGCGGATTCTCCACCACATGGAACACGGGCTGAGCCGGCAGCCCCTCCCGGAACCCTCCCAGCCTGGGCGAAGGAGGAGCACGGTGCCCCCCACTCCAGCCTGGTTAGGTCCGGGACACGTGCGGGGCGCCCGTCCCCGGCGGAGGGGCGCGGGCGCCGGGCAGCCCCCGCCCTCCCTCCCGGCCCCGAGCGCGGCCGCCGCGGCTGGAACAAAGAAGCGCCGCGAACTCGCCGGGAGGCGGGCCGGCCGCGCCCCCTCCCCACGCCGGGCGGCGGGCGTGCCGGCCGCGGGGTCCCCGCCGCTCCCTCCGCCGGCGGCTCACCTGGCCGGCGCGGAGCTCCCCCTCCAGCTCGCGGTGGCGGTTGTGCCACACCAGGTAGTGCAGCGGGTACCTGCCCTCCGGCCCCTTCCCGGCGGCGGCGTTGGCGGGGAGCATCGCCCGCTCCTCATGCCGGGGCCGCGGCGCCCGGCCCGGGAGGAGGGACGGCGCCGGGGCCGGGGCGCGGGGCCGCGGGGCGCGGGGCCGGCGCTGCCTGCGGGCGAGGCTGCGGCGCGGGCATGTGCGAGCGGCGCCGGCGGGCGGAGGCGGGCGGCGCGGAGAGGCCCCCCCGCCGGGGAGGAGGAGGGGGAGGGAGAGGGAGAGGGAGCGGCTCCGGCGGCGCGGACTCGCGCCCTGTCTCCCGCACCCCCGCACACAAAGACGCCGCTTGGCGAGGGGAGCGGGCGCGGGGGCGCACAGGGCGCGGGGCCCCGGGGACGCCGTCGCCGCCGGGACGCGCGCCCACAGCCCCCGGCTTCCCGCAGCCGCATAGCCCGGCCCTCTGCCGGAGCGGCTGCGAGGGATGCGGGGATGCGGGGGAGCAGGGAGGGGGAGCTGGGTGCTCCAGGCAGGGCTTGTTATAGCGCGGCCCCGCGGCATGATGGGGCTTGTAGTCCGCCTTGTGGAACAGGGGGTGGCGAGTGGCCGGGGAGTGCCCCGCACTCTCTCCGCTTCATCCCGTAAAAGCGCGGGGAAGGAGGCAGGCCTGGCCGAAACGCAGGCAGCGTCCTGACGCCAGGTTGCGCCCCAGCCGCTGGCATTTTGTCTTTTGATGGGGAGAGAGGGTTTTTGATACAGGCCTCGCTTCAGCATTGGGAGGTGTGGGAAGGTGTGGCCTTCAGGATTGAGTTTGGATCCCAGTAGAAGGTGAGAAAGGATCCAGACCCTCTGAAGAGTGACTGGTTGGGACTCCGGAAAAGGTAAGGGGCTTTGGTACCAATGATCATTGGAGCAATCAGGGATCTGACGCCTGCATTACGATATAGGAGTCTTCCCTGCCCTTTTATAAAATTAAACTCCATGTTCCACACTTGACATTGGAAAGAGAATGTCCAGTCAGGCTGCGAGGACAGCCCCCCTTCCCCATACGCCGTCCTCTGCAAGGACCAGAATGGGGCTGGGCAGAGAGCTCCCCACCTCCACCCCTCCAGTGTGGTCCCCTCAGGAGAGAAAGTGGCTGATTCCAGAGACGGTCACCTTCCTAAATAACTCCAGGGCAGGGCGGTCCTGCCAGAAGGGTCCTGAAGATGCTGGGGTAGACGTGGATTTGGCCTCTGTGGGGAGAACCTAGAGGCTTGGTCTAGTCCTTGGAGGGCAGAGGGACTGGGATGTTAGGGACTCGAGTTAGAATTCCTCCTTCCCAACTGCCTGACCTTAAGCAACCTGCTTAAATAGTCTGGTTTCTCAGACCACTCCCCTCTAACATAAGACCGGAAACTACCTCCTGGGGTGAGCTAAAGAGGGTGTCTGCCGGCGGAGCATCCCTCTCCCAGCCAGGCGGACCGAGACAGCTGTGGCAGGGACCAGGCACAGTGCCTTGGGGAGGCCACCTTAGAACCAGATGGGAAGGAGGAATTCCACACCAGCCCTACTTAGAACACCCCAGGAAGTGTTCCTGTGGGAGGTGCTAGCGAAAGCTTGCAAACTCCCCGCACCTCGCTCAGGTTACTCTGTGTGGTCTTCTCCCCTCCCTCCTCCACCTCCTGCGGTGCCAGGCCCGGGAGGGCGGGCAGGATGAGGGAAGAGCAGACGGCCTCGCCCCTTTCTCCAGCCTGGGAGCAGCCAGCAGCCGCTGGTGTCTCTGGCAGCCGGGGACCACTGCCCAACTCTGCCACGAGGGGGCAGCAGAGCGTCGTGGCTGCAGCCTGAGTTGAGGAGGGGGCTGGATGGGGTGGGGGTGGGGGGGGGGACCGCTAGGAGTGGCCGGGAGAATGCCTGTAAGTTATCCTTATTAAATTATTTTTGGAACCTTGTGTGTGATTTCTCTCTAACTGTTCTTCTTCCTGAGGTGATGAGATCTCCAGAAGGAAATCCTGAACCCTTTTGATCCCTAGCCCCAGGCCCAGGGCTGTGGCGGGGTACGGGGGTGGGGGTGGGGGGGCCCTTTCGGAACAAAGTTTGCAGAGTGGATCTGCGCCTGGGCCTCTCCCAGGTAGTCCTGGGGCAACCTGGTAAATCGTAAATTTCCCCCTGAAAAATCTTCGAAGAGAGAGCTCAGCCTGGGTTGGGGGGTCGGGGGCATGGGGGCACAACCCCCCGGGCATCCGACTCGCTCTCTTTGCAAAGGCAGCCATACACAGACACTAAGCCAGGTCGCTTTTCCTCCAACCTGCGCGCTCTGGCTGGGCTGCCACGTGCTCGAGACGCGCCCACAGAGCAAAGAAACAAAGACAGCCAACCGACAGAGCTGCCAGCAGCCGCCTCGGCATTTAATACATGAAATTCCACAGCTGGGGGGGCGGTCGGTTGGAGGGACGGCCGTTGGTGGTGGGCTGTGTGCCGGTTTGGGGGGCCAGGCTGCTGTTTCCATTGGGCTGGGGTCACCGAGCCCATGGACTAGCTTCTGGGTGAGGGTGCGGCCCTGGATGGCAGGTGGTGGGTGCTCCATCCCCACCTCTAACCCTCGAGGTATATATCCTTGCTTACAGAAACCCCACCAGCCAGCCACTGGCTGTGGGGGGGGGAAGGAGGCCTGCAAGGATTTTTTTTTTTAAAGGTGTGATTATAAAAATATCCCCGCGGGTCGCTATTTCAAACAAACTTGTCAATCTGCGGCTGCAGCAAAAAGGCGATGGAGGCAGCTTTGCGTGTATTTCGGGCCGTGTGACTCATGCGCATTACTTTGTCTCCCCCCGGGAAGCAGCCAGTCCACCCACAAGTCACTGCTGCTCTGGCGCCGCTGGGATAAAATGGACCAACTCTGTATCCCGGGGCTGGGACTCTCCCCACCCCTCACCCTCCCGCCCCTCACCCCTCACCCTGGTTCCCTGCCGCTTGGGAACTCTCCCTTAATCGTGTCACTACTGACCTGACCCCCAGGCCTGGTCTTGGGCACCCTGGACCCCTCCCCACAAGCAGGATGCTCTGGCCTTTTGCTGCTGCAGGGATGGGGGCTGGTGCACGGGAGGCACACGTGTTTGGGGGAGCATGCTCAATGCACTGGTTCACCCACGTGCAGTCTGACCTCTGCTCCCTGTTCCCCCCACCCCCATCCCACCCTGAAACCCTCCGCCCCCCCATGTCTCCGTGTGAATTCCAGGAAGAAAGGCTGCCACAAAACTAAGTCCCTGTATGTTATATGGACATACACACCTCTGGTGGCCCAGAACCATTGTGGGTGCATACAAGTCGGATGACAAGCAGGTGGGGGCCTTTTAAAACCGCCCAGATTCTTTACTTTTTAGAGGCAAGCCCTGAGGAAGGCCAGATGCAGTCTTAGCCCGAAGGGTAGGGCGGACAGACCTCTTTGGCACCTGAGCGTCCATGTTGTTGGCGGGGTTCATAGTCAGCAAGTGTGAACACACACACACCTGGACACACACATGTGGACACCTGGGAATCCAGGACGCACACCTCACCCCAACCAGCGAGAAGCGGGTACCCCAAGCCACAGCCCCTCACAGGAAGGAGAGCCTAGGCCTCCAGCTCCTCGATGGGGTCTCTGATTCCCAGGGCCCACTGTCCCAGGGCCGGAACTCCAGGCCAACCCCCCTCTGGAAAGCGAAGGGGGTGGGCTGACGTCACACCGCCCTCGGGCCAGAGACACGCGGGAGAAGGTGGGGCCTCGGCCGCGGGCGAGGCCGCCTGCTCCAGCGCGGCGGGGTGTGCGGCCCCTTTAAGCGCCCCCGCCCTCCCCGCCCGCGCTCCCGGCTTCCTTCCTCCGGGAGGCGGGGCCGCCCCTCCCCGGGGGGCGGGGCCTGCGCCGCTTCCTGCAGGAGCGGCCGTGGCCGCGCGAGGGGCGGGGAGAGCGAGCGGCGAGCGGCGGCGGGGCGGCGGCGGGGCGGAGGGCGCCCGAGGGCGAGCGGGCAGGCGGGCGGGCACGGCGGGTTCCGGGCCGGCCCAGGGGCGGTCGGTTGGCCGGGCGCGCGGAGCCTCGCCGGGGCCTCGCCGGAGCCGGGACGGGCAGTAGGGCCGCCGCCGCCGCCGCCCGGGGCTGCCGCCCGCGCCCCCCACGCTGGCCCAGCGGGCCGCGGCCGCGCCGCCGCGGAGGATGTCCCGGAAGGGGCCGCGCGCGGAGGTGTGTGCGGACTGCAGCGCCCCCGGTAAGCAGGCCGCGGGGGCGGCACCGGGACCGCGCGCCCGGGCCGCCGGGAGGGCGGGCGCCTGGGCCTGGCGGGAGCGCCGTGCGGGCCGGCGGGCGGGGTGGGGCTGGGGGCTGCGGCCTCGGCCCCCGCCCGGGCCGCTGCGGAGCCCCGTCCTCGGCCGGAGCGCCGGCCGGGGGCCCCCTGCGGCCTGGTGCCCGCGGACGAGCCGGGAAGGACGTTCTCGGCGCCGCTCCCACCCCTCAGGCCGCGGGAGGCGGGCAACCGGCCGCCCCCCGCCCCCATCCCCATACCCGAACGGAAGCGCCGGCCCGGGGTGGCCGGGGGCCGTGGCGGAGGCCGGCCAGGGCAGGGGGTGGGGGCGAGTGTGGTTTTGCGCCGTCTCCGGGCCGCCCACCCCCGCGTCTTGCACCTGCTGCTCGCACGGTCTGCCGGCCGGCCTGCCTGCCGGGGTAGCGGAGGGCAAGGGGCCGGGAGCCGGGCAGATGGGCCGGGGGGAGGGGGAGGCTTGGATACTGTTTCCTCGGGAGCAGAGGAGGGGTGGCTCCTCCTGGAGCTCCCGGGCCCTGGCTCCCCGGGCTGGGGCTCCTCGCAGGCAGGCAGGCCTGGTGCACCGGGCCCGTGTGAGCCTGAGCATCTTCCTGCGGCGGCCCCCCGGCCACCTGGTGACTGGGGCCACCTGGACCCGGCTTTTCTTGTGCCTCAGTCGGGTTCACTTGGGGAAAGTGAGCTTGGCATCGCCCCAATGTGGGCAGATACCTCTCCTGGTGCCCTAGCCCAGCCTGACCAGAAATAGGTAGGGAGCAGGGTTGAGGGTTCTAGATTCCCCAGGAGCCCGCTGGTCCCTGGCCGGCCTCTTGGCTGTGTTTACCGTGGTGTTTCCCTTCTCAGCAGTCAGCTCCAGGCTGATGCCAACCCCTGACCTGCTGAGGAAGTAAGGAGCAGTGACCCCCCCTTCGCCCCCCAGACTGCTCCCTTCTGATGTGGGAGGACACTGCCAGTGATGGGGCTGGGCAGCTGGGGGGGGAGGGGGAGAGGAAGCCCAGGCCTGGTTCATCCTCTTTAGAAAAGGAACTGTCCCTGGGCAGGCTCAGGTGTCTGAACTCCAGAGGGACTGGGGACAGGCGAGATGTGAGAGTGTGGGGTGCTGTTTTGTGGGCCCCAAACTCCCAGACATTCCTTGGGCGGCCCCAGGACGCCAACAGGTTGAGGCTCACAGATGCTCTGGTGGCTCCAGCCTGGAGGGATCTGGATCCTGGCGCTCTGTGGTTGGTCATGACCCCAGGCCTCCTCTCGGCATGCCACGGTCTAGCGGGCTCCCAAGCTGTCTGGGGTTGTGTGTGCTTACCTTTGGTTAGCTGGGAACGGTGACCAGCCCCGGGGAGAGGAGGGGGAGGTTGTGCCGCTGTGCTGGGGGGTGAGGGGGGGCAGCATGCACAGCAGACACCCTTTCAGGGGAGCCTGGGTTTTAGGGTTGCCTTTGATCCAGCTTACTCTGTGACAGCCAAGAGGCCGGCCAGGGGCCAGCAGGCTCCTGGGGAATCTAGAACCCTCAACACTGCTCCCTGCTCATTTCTGGTCAGGGCTAGGGCACCAGGAGGGGTATCTGCCCACATTGAGGAGATGCCAAGCTCACTTTCCCCATGCCAAGACCTTCCCCACTCTGTCCCGTTTCCTCACCTGCAAGGCAGGGAAGTCGGAGTAGAAATGGTTTTGGGCGAGTGTCCCGTCGCCACATCTGCGGTCCTGATTCCGGGTTTGAGGAGTGGAGAGCAACATCAGCATGGCCGCTGTCTTTTTTCCATTCCATTCGCCTGTTGGGCTGTGGTCTCTGGGTGCCCATTGGGCTCGGGGGCAGAGTGGTGTGTATCTGAGGTGTTTGTACTGCCACCTCTTACCCCTGGCCCTTGTCCCTCAGAGGCATTGTGCCCCTGGGCCCTTGTTCCCCTTGATCAGGTCAGGAAGAGGCAAATGGTGAGAAGGTGAGGGTGATGAGGTGGGCCGGGTGATGACCCAGTCTTGTCACCCCACCCCAGCACCTAGCGAGGTGTCTGGCACAGAGCAGGCACTGCCCGAGGGTGTGGATGCTTGTCTGGACCCCTGCTGCCTGCTGGGTCTGCTCCAGACCCCGCTGTGTGCTGTGGTGAATGGCGTTCTCTGTCTGGGAACTACTCGCAGCCCAAGAGAAAGGCTTGAGAGTAGGCAGCTGCCTGAAGCTCAGACCCAGAGCCACCCTGTGTGTGCCTCCTACCCAGGCATAGGCTTCCCTCGCTGTGGCAGGAACCCTGCAGTCCCAGCCCTAGGAGGGGGAGGGGGTGGGGGTGACGATGGAGGTAAAAGGTGAGGTGGAGCCTGACCTCAAAGGCCCCTCCTCATCCTCCCTCTGCTCCCAGGCGTGGGCATGAGGGGATAGTGTGAGTATGTTGTGAGGCAGCTGGGCATGGCCTGCCTGCTCTGGCTGCTGGTCAGGCACCATCTGTGCCCCTGCCTGCCTTGGGAGTCCAAGAGAGGGGCTGGGGTCAGGGAAGCTGCAGAGTGTGTGTTTCCCCATTCTCCCCCTGCACACAGCTCTGGCCCTGCTCTCAGGGCTTGTCCCTCACCCTACAGGCCTCCATGCAGCCTCTGGCACCTTGGAGGAGCAGGGCTGGCCACCAGCGAGGGCCATTTGGGAACCTGCAGGCCATGTTATTGTGGGATGGGGTGAGTGGTGGGCTCTCCTCTTTTATTGAGATACTAGAAGCTGGGTGCATGAATTCGTGCACGGGTGGGGTCCAGCTGGCCCCACCCCCGATCAGAGTGGGAGGGGTAATTGGGGTCTCGGACAGTTGGCTGGTCAAACTCCCGGTCCAGGGGACAATTTGCACATTAGCCTTTTATTATATAGGATGACTTATGAATCACAAACGGCACGCACCTTTCTGTTTGGCTGATGAGTTTGTGCGCATGGGTATAGCTGTAGCCATCACCCCAACCCAGAGAGAGAGCATTCCCATCGTGCTGCAGGGTTTTCTTTTTTCTTTCTTTTTTTTTTTAATATATATTTTATTTTTTCTAATATATTTTACTGATTTTTTACAGAGAGAAAGGGAGAGGGATAGAGAGCTAGAAACATCGATGAGGGAGAATTATCGACCAGCTGCCTCCTGCACAATCCCCACTGGGGATGTGCCCGCAACCAAGGTACATGCCCTTGACCTGGATCGAACCTGAGACCTTTCAGTCTATCCACTGAGCCAAATGGGTTTCGGCTGCAGGGTTTTCTTGTGCCCCCGCCCAGCCGGTGTCCCCTGCCTGCTTTCAGCATGGCGGCTTCTCTCTCTTCCTAGTGCGGATCTGGTTCCTCGCTCAGGAGAGGCTAGCCCTTATAGCAGACCTACTGGCCCCAGTGGGGTTGGCATTGGTTAATGTTCCTTCAGGACCCCTCCTGCCACTTGCCCACACTTATCAGACCCACCCTGACGGGAGGCAGGCGTCCAGGAGGAGGATTGGCAGATACCAACTTGGTCACCGCGTCCCGTGGGCCTTGCGTTCCCTGTCTCTCTTCTGCCCCACGTTTGTCCAGGGAGCCTCTTTGGGACAAGACTCCCTTTAACTTTAAACTTCAATAGCCATTGGCTTTCAGGAACCCTTCCTGGCCCTTCTGCTTAGCACCTTGCTTAGCAATGGCCTAGGTGAGGCCTGGGGGCTCTTGCTTGGGTATGTCCCATGTCCCCTGGGCATAAGGAACAGGGAGTGGGGTGAGGGTGGGCTTTCTCGTCTGCCAATCAGAACTGAACTGGCACCAGTGTGCCCCAGACCAGGACAGCGGCCCCTGCCCACTCTTGCTATTTCAGGTCACTGGGCATGGGGAAGAGGGGGACCCTCCCCCAGCCAGGAGAGTGGCAAGCTGAGTCCTGGGCCCCGTTCCCCGGATCCCAGTGTGGTGGTTACTGCGCATTCAGGGACTTGCCGTGTCTGTTCTGGCCGGTCCTCCAGGCCAGGCTTCTCCGGGAGGGCGGCTCCCCACTTACAGGAAACCCCACCATTTCAACAAGAGGAATTCAGGCTGCGTCATTTCCAGCTTCCTGGCTGGGCAGCGGCGATGGCCGGAGGGCAGACCCCTGGCCCAGTGGCGTGGGAGTGGGGGAGGGGGCGGTGGCCTGGAGCGGCTCCTGCTCGGGAAGCCGACACTAACGCTCCCGGGCCCCTGGGATGAGCTCCCGGGAAGGGGCAGTGTGCGCCGTGTGCTTTCCTGTGCCCGTTGTGGGGAGGTGGGGGTCCCTGGCCCAGAAAGCTGAGTCCCTCGGCCCCTCCTGTTCCCGGGCTGTGAGGGGCTGCTGGCTGTGGGCAGAGCTCATGCCGCACCCTGACTCGGTCTCCTCCGTTCTCCGGGGCTCGGAGAGAAGTCCTTTCGGGGCAGGGTCTGAGAACACCTTCTGGTCGGAGAGGCTCTCGTTCCCCCTCGAGCACCGGGGCAAGGCGGGGAGCCAGCACCCCTCCGGGACAGGGCTTCCTGACAGGGTGGGGCCGGGCAGAGCACAGTGTCCTGGGAGACAGGCTCCCCGCCCCCACTCTCCGGAGGCACACAATGGCCGCTTTCTCCCCCGTGACCTTTCCACAGCCTGAGCTGTACACAGCGGCCCCCCCCTCCCCCGGGGGGCCTGGGAGGGGTGGCATCTCCCCTGCCCTTGAGAAGGACCCCAGGAGCTCCCACCCTGCCCTGGGTTTCCAAAGTGCACTTCTCCGGAGAGAGGTTCCCAGAGCCCCCTGCCCCCGGGTCTGTCCCCTTCCGGACAGAGCACAGGGCCGCAGCGGCTCTGGACACGGCGCGGTCTCCGGCACCGGAGTGCCTGGGTGCGCGTCCCCGCAGCCCCACTCCCTCGTGTGTGACCTTGTGCACGCGCACTGAGCTCACTGGTAGGCGGGTAGCCGTCCCCACCTTGCCTGGCAGTTGGGAGAGGCATCGTGCATGCGGCGCCCAGAGGGGCACAGTGGGGCTCAGTCAGCGGCAGTCCCTCCGCTCTCCCACCCGCCTCAGGAGGGATTCCATCAGTGATGGCGGCAGGAGCCTTGGCAGGGTAAGGGCAGAGTCGGGTGTCCCTGGGGATTGCGATGGGTCCGGCAGGTGGGCCACTGGGCGAGGAGAGATGTGGCACTGACCCAGACGCAGGAGGAGCGCCTAGGGATGAGTGGTGTGGACACATCGGGGTTCCGTCCCCTCAGGGATCCCCGCTTCCCTGGGGAAGGCTAGGGTAGCAGTCTTGTTCCCTGGGGAAGGCTGTGGGAATGATAGTGGCAACTGCAGGACGGGAAGCCATGCCCGCTGAGTAGGCCCTGGGGACCACACCTTCCCAGAGAGCCAGATATGTGTAGGAAAGGGCTCGGCTGTGTCCGTCGCCAGCTGTGAGCTCGTGTGGAAATCCCTCTCGCTGCCTCAGCTCAGCTTCCTCATCCGTCGCCAGTGCCTCCTGATGTCCCAGTTTCCAGGCTCTGAGGGCCCAGGGGAGTGAACATGTGCGGACACTAAGCATAGTGCTGGCCCGGAGCAGGTGCGCAGGGGGTCTTGCCTGCAACTGGCTGTGGCTGACCCTGGCTTCCCCCCACTCCCTGGCAGACCCTGGCTGGGCCTCCATCAGCAGGGGGGTGCTGGTGTGTGACGAGTGCTGCAGCGTGCACCGGAGCCTGGGACGCCACATTTCCATCGTCAAGCACCTTCGCCACAGCGCCTGGCCCCCCACGCTGCTGCAGGTACGGGACTGGCCCGCCCTCCTCCGTCCCACAGGGTGCTCACCGCAGGCACGTCTCCCTCAGACCAACACACACACCTGCCTGCACTCAATAGCTCCTGGGGGGCAGCACCTGCCTGGGGAGCACCCTAACCCAAACCCTAATCCAAACCCATCCACTCACCTGAGAGAGGAGGCATCCAGGCCTGTGGTCAGGCAGACCTGGGCGCTCATCTCTGCTCTGCCTCATGTAGCACTGAGCAGGTCGCTTACCCTCTCTCAGCCTTGGCATGCTGGTCACGTGACCTGGGGTTCTAACCAGGACCCACATCCTCGGGTGGCCTGACGGGATAGAGATGCAGCAGTGAACAGGCACCCAGTAGGCGCTTTGGTGCTTTTGCAGCCACACTGGCTGTTGCCGGTGCCCAGTGTCCGGCACTCAGTGGGCTCTCACTTGGCATCTCCTCCCCACAGATGGTGCACACGCTCGCCAGCAACGGGGCCAACTCCATCTGGGAGCACTCCCTGCTGGACCCCGCACAGGTGCAGAGCGGCCGACGCAAAGCCAACCCCCAGGACAAAGTCCAGTGAGTCGGGCTGGAGGGGCGGTGGCAGAGGCCGGGTGGTCTGGGACAGAGGCCGGGAGGTGGCCAGGTGACTCCTCTCTCACTCTGCTCCCCATTTCCTCCTCTGTGCCCCGTGCAGCCCCATCAAGTCCGAGTTCATCAGGGCCAAGTACCAGATGCTGGCATTTGTGCACAAGCTTCCCTGCCGGGATGACGACGGGGTCACCGCCAAAGACCTCAGCAAGGTGTGAGGGGCCTCTCCCCACCCCAGCACCCTGCAGGCTCCTCCTCAGGCACCGCTCAGCCCTAGGCCCCAGAGGCAGCAGGCCAGGCAGGAACCGCGGGGTGTGTGAGGAGCAACCAACGTGCTTGGTTAGGCTGCCTGTGGTCAAAGCCCCTCGCCTCCCGGGAGGACACACAGGCTGACATCCCCCAACTGCCACCCAAAAGCCAGGAAAACTCGGGGTCGTTCCTAAGCCTCTCAGAGCCTCAGTTTTCTCATCTATGAAATGGGAAGAACAGCACCATCTCCTATATACTGTCTGTTCCAAGCAGAGCACACAGTACAGGGTAGAGTGACTGACAGCAGCTGCTATTAATGGGTGTGAAGCCCTCTGTCCTCCCAGACACCCGCACTTCAGCTGGGCCCTGGGAGCTGCGGGCATCCCAGGTGCTCTCAGTCCCTGGTGCAGCCTGAGGGAGGAGGGCTCACACGTGTGTTGCTCCCGCTCCTTGCAGCAACTGCATTCAAGCGTGCGGACAGGCAACTTGGAGACGTGTCTGCGCCTGCTGTCCCTGGGTGCCCAGGCCAACTTCTTCCACCCGGAGAAGGGCACCACGCCTCTGCACGTGGCTGCCAAAGCCGGGCAGACGCTGCAGGCCGAGCTTCTTGTCGTGTACGGAGCTGATCCCGGCTCTCCCGACGTTAATGGCCGAACACCCATTGACTATGCCAGGTGAGGGTTGGCTGAAGGGTGGGGCACGGGTGGGTGGGGGCAGTGGGCTGCTACTGCAGGCTGAGCCATGCCCCCTCCCCACAGGCAGGCGGGGCACCATGAGCTGGCAGAGAGGCTAGTCGAGTGCCAATATGAGCTCACTGACCGGTTGGCCTTCTACCTCTGCGGACGAAAGCCTGGTGAGCAGAGTGCGGGCAGGCCTGGCGGAGTCAGGCAGGTGGGACCCAGACACACCTCAGCAGCAGGTGCCATGGTGACACAGCTGGCTGGGGAACAATGTTGCTAGGCAACTGGCTCCTGTGAAATTGCTGCAGGCTCTGGGCTGCAGCACATTGGGGCAGGGAGTGGGGGTGGCATAACTTCTAGCCAGCTCCCAGGCTTTCCCCTGACACCTCTGGGTGCCTGCCCCTGCTCCTGGCAGTGAGGTGGCATCCAGCTGCTCAGGCCACTCCGCACCAGTGACTTGGCATTTTTATTTTTGTTCAGATCACAAGAATGGGCATTATATCATCCCACAGATGGCCGACAGGTGAGTGCCCACCTGGTGTCCTGGCCCAGAGGCTGTTATAGGCCATGGTGGTGCCTGACCCCCACACTCCCCACCCCACTCCGCTACGGGCTGGAAATTGCATAGTCTGGTCCTTACTCCCTAATTCTGGGCCCCAGGGCAGATAAGGGTCGACTTAGCACATGGCCAGCATAGCCTGAGCTCCTTCTGTCAGAAGCATAGCACAGGCAGCACCCCAAGAGCAGTGGGTCACCGGGTTCTATTCCCAGTGACACTGGCCCCACTGAAACCTTAGGTAAATCTCTGCTCCTCACTGAAAAGCAGGTGGGCTCCAGGGATCTGAGTAACCGGCCAGCCCGTGTGGTGTGTTCATAAACTGGGCAGGGGCTGGAGGGCAAGGCATGGCACAATCCAGGTGTCTCTGCCTCTGATCTGAGGCCCCAGGTGCCAGGCTGGGAGGTACCACCTCCAATCCTTACTCAGCTTACAAGATGGGTGCTGGCGCCACCTGGTGGCTGCCTCTGGTGGTCATCGCCATGCTCGCTGTGCCTGCTGGCGTGGGTCTGGAGAGGCTCCCTCCTCCAGAGGGCAGTGTGGGCAGATGGGGCCTGTCAGGTCTGGGCACCTTGGATTCCTGAGCCCAGACCTCCTCTGTTCTGAAATCCCAAGACTCCCCCTACGTCTTTGGTCTGACTCCGCCTGGTGTGCGTGCCTGCGTGGCAGGGGGTGTTGTAAACACGTGGGCACAGACTCAGTGAAATGTTAACCGAGCACCTTCGCGGCGCCAGCTGCTGTTCTTGGCACTGAGACACAGGTGGTTCCGACAGCATCCCTGCCTTTGAGGAGCTCACAGTCGAGAAAGGGAGGCAGCCCAGTCAGACAGTTGTAGTTCAGTGTGGGACGTGCAGCAGGAGAGACAGAGGCACAGACGCTAGGAACGCTGTGCCAGGAACTGCAGGCAGATGGGGAGCTGCAGCATATGTGAGAGGCGGGATCCCGGGAGCAGGACTGGAGGAGACGGAGTGGCCAGTCCTGTGGGTCCTGAGGAAGGCTGGGACCCTCCTGAGCGGGAGAGGTCCCAGCATGGGGTGTGCGGAGCCAGCCCTGCTGCTTCCCTGGCTGTGGGGCCTCAGGCAGGCTGCTGACCCTCTCAGAGCCTCGGTTATCTCACCTGGAAATGAGGGCAGCTGTGCCTGTCTTTGTGGGCTGTTGAGAGGATTAAATAAGATAATGCATGTAAAGCATTTAGCATATTTTTAAAATGAGCCTTTTGTTATTGGGGTGTTTTTAAGACCAGGAATAGTGCCACCAGGTGTGTCAGAAGGATCACCGTGGTGCTAGGTAGGAAAGTTTTGTAGGAGCGAGAGTGGGAGGGGGAAGGTGGGTTAGTAAACTACAGCGAAAGCCCAGGCGGGGGCAATGATGGCGGAGCCTGGGGAAGGCGGGCGGAGGCGGGAGGCTGAGGGGGGTTTCAGGTTCTCCCAGGAGCTGACGGTGGTGCCGGGAGATGGGTCACCGAGAGGAGGGGCGAGCCAGTCAGGAGCAGGCTGGGGGAGAGGAGTCCGTTTTGTGCGTTCTGACTGGCGTGTGCAGAGATGAGTGAGCTTGACGTGGAAAGGCGTGTGCTCCCTTCTGCTGGGTAATTGCTGCCTCTGTCCTGTTCTTCCCTCTGCTGCCTTCCTCTGGACTTAGATCCCGGCAAAAGTGCATGTCTCAGAGGTATCTGTGTCTGCACGGGAGCAGGCTCTGGAGGTTGGGAGGGGCGGGGTGGCTCTGGTTGTGTGGATCTGGGGTCTTGTCTCCCTGGGCGCTCTGCATGTTTGGAGGGTCATTGGCAAAGGTCTGGCCACGTCTTATGTCTGGTCTCCCTTCCTCCCCCTTCTCGGCTCCCTCCTTGTCCTCAGCCTGGACCTGTCTGAGTTGGCCAAAGCTGCCAAGAAGAAGCTGCAGGCGGTGAGTCTGCTGCCATTCCTACCCCCCCCCCCCGCCCCCGCCCCTCTGATCGCTCCCCCTTCCTCTGACCCGGTGTCCTTCTCCAGGTCTTTGAGCTGCTCTCCCCCCAGCCCCCGTCTCCTCTGCTGCTTCCCCACCCCTTGTCTTGACCCTGGCTCTGCCCTGCAAAGGCTCCAGGGCCCTGGCTCCACTTGGGCCTCAGTGGCATTAGCTGGCCCAGTCTGGCCTCCCTTTTGCCCTCTCCCACCTCAGAGCCTTGCAGACAGACCCACATCCCCCATTTTCAGTTCTGAGACTGTGGTGCTGGGTGGCACAAGGGGCACCGGTGAGCTGGCCCTGTCGGCTCTCGGGGCCAGTGCACCTGACCAAGCCTGTGACCCCCTGTGCCTCCAGCTCAGCAACCGGCTTTTTGAGGAACTCGCCATGGACGTGTACGATGAGGTGGATCGAAGAGAAAATGACGCTGGTGAGCTGGGAGGGCATTGGGGTCTCAGGGCAGGTGGGACCGAGGAGCCACCACTAGGAAAGGCGATGGAAACGGAGAAGGGGTGCCTGGGGTTGGTCTGCTCGGCGGGCCTGTGTACAAGCCTCTGCCAGCTGTGAGCCGGCCCGGGCAGCGGCCCCAGCCTGCTCCTCCTACCCACCCCCCCGCTGGGCTCATCTCTGCTCTAGCTGCCTCCCACTTTGGCTCTCTCCCCAGTCCTGCCCCCCACCCCCACCCCCTTAATCACTCCTTCCTAGCCACAGCCAGATTCCAGCCCAAACTCGGCTGGGCCTGGCGAGAGGGAGTGGCCCCGCTCTGTCAGTCTCCCGCTGGCCTTGCCCAGTGCCGGCAGGAGACCACCCCCGTTTTGATCACGGGGGCCTGAGGAGGAGCTAGGAAAGCTGTGCTCAGCGCTCTCCCCCCCCCAGCCGCGGGCCTGGCCACCCTGGACAGTCTGCTCCCCGCTCCTCCCCCACAGTGTGGCTGGCTACCCAAAACCACAGCACCCTGGTGACAGAGCGCAGCGCCGTGCCCTTCCTGCCCGTGAACCCCGAGTACTCAGCCACCCGGAACCAGGTAGGCGGCTCTGTGGGGGGCCTGGGCTCTTCCTCCCCCCCAGGGGCCGCCAGCTCCGGGGGCCTGCCTTCCTCAGCGGCTATTGTCCGGGCCGGGCCGGGCTGGGCCTGCTCTTCCCCTCCCCTGCCCCAGGCTCCCTTGGCCCGGCTGGCACTGCGACTGGGCGTGGGGAAGAAGCTGCTCTGTGAGCACTTGGCGAGCAGCTTGGGGAGGTGGGTTCCTGCCTCCTCCTGAGAACTCTCCTCGGCACCGAGTCTGTGCCACCCTCACCCTGCCCTGGCCAAGCGAGCGGCCGGAGGTTACTGGGGTCAAAGCCGACAGCTGACAGCAGCGGCCCCGTCACGCCAGCCTGGCCCTTTCCGCTCACAGGGGCGGCAGAAGCTGGCCCGCTTTAATGCCCGGGAGTTTGCCACCTTGATCATCGACATCCTCAGCGAGGCCAAGCGGAGACAGCAGGGCAAGAGCCTGAGCAGCCCCACAGGTGTGGGGGCGAGGGGCGGGGCGGGCACTGGCCCAGGGCAGCCTCTCAGGCCCCCTGTCGGGGCTGCGTGGTGAGGCGGGTTGGTGGCTGAGCCCTGAGTGACAGGCCTGTGCCCGCAGACAACCTCGAGCTGTCCGTGCGGAGCCAGAGCGACCTCGACGACCAGCACGACTACGACAGCGTGGCCTCGGACGAGGACACCGACCAGGAGCCTCTGCGCAGCGCCGGCGCCACGCGCAACAACCGGGCTCGGGTCTGCGCGCAGCCCCCTCCCCCACCCCCACCCCAGCCGGGGCCCCGGGACCAGGGCTGTCACAGCGTGGGGAGCAGCTCTCCGTCCGTCCCCGCGGCTGAGGCTCCTGTCTCCCTCCAGAGCATGGACTCCTCAGACCTGTCTGACGGGGCGGTGACGCTGCAGGAGTACCTGGAGCTCAAGAAGGCCCTGGCCACCTCCGAGGCGAAGGTGCAGCAGCTCATGAAGGTCAACAGCAGCCTGAGCGACGAGCTCCGGAGGCTGCAGAGGGAGGTGAGGGCGTGGGGCTTCCGGGGCTCCGTGGGGGGCGGGGGCTGCCTGGGCCCTCGGGACCCTGACACCCTCCACCCCCAGATCCACAAGCTGCAGGCGGAGAACCTGCAGATCCGGCAGCCGCCGGGGCCGGGGCCCACGCCGCCCCTCCCCAGCGAGCGGGCGGAGCACTCGTCCGTGGGGCCTGGCGGGAGCGCCCACCGCAGGGACCGCCAGGCCTTCTCCATGTATGAGCCGGGCTCGGCCCTGAAGCCCTTCGGGGGCCCGCCCGGGGACGAGCTGGCCACCCGGCTGCAGCCTTTCCACAGCACGGTGAGTGCCGCTCAGGGCGGGAAGCAGGGCCGAGCCCCCACGGGCCCCCGTGACCCTCTGTGCCCACCCCAGGAGCTGGAGGATGACGCCATCTACTCGGTGCACGTCCCGGCCAGCCTCTACCGGGTAAGAGGGCCGGGCACGTGGGTCCGTTCCTGTAGCAGGTTCTGAGCCCCCGGGTGCCAGGCTTCGTGCCGGAGGCTGGACCACAGGGAGGAGGAGAGACTGACTCCGCCTCCTGGGTTTTAGATCCGGAAGGGGGTTTCAGCCTCAGCTGTGCCCTTCACTCCCCCCTCCCCACTGCTGTCCTGCTCCCAGGAAGGAAGCCGCCACGCGGTACGTCTGCTCCCGGGCCTGAGGGGCTGCCGGGCTGACGGGAGCGGGTGGGGTGCCTGTCTCACCTCCCGTCTCCTGCGTCCTCCAGAGCAAACTCTCGCGCCACGGCAGCGGCGCCGACAGCGACTATGAGAACACGCAGAGTGGGGACGCCCTGCTCGGGTAGGCGCGGAGGGAGGCAGGTGGGCCTGGAGGGCTGAGGGCCAGGCCGGAGGCCGCGAGCTGGAACGGCTCTCCGCCCCGCGCCCAGGCTGGAGGGGAAGCGGTTTCTGGAGCTGGGCAAGGAGGACGACTTCCACCCCGAGCTGGAGAGCCTGGACGGAGACCTGGACCCCGGGCTGCCCAGCACGGAGGACGTCATCCTGAAGACGGAGCAGGTCACCAAGAACATCCAGGAGTTGTTGCGGGCTGCCCAGGAATTCAAGCACGACAGGTATGGGGCGGGCGCCGGCTCCTCCGGGCCGGTGTGCCACTGCCCTGCAACCTTCCCCAGAGCCCCTAATGCCTGCCCTCCCCACAGCTTTGTGCCCTGTTCAGAGAAGATCCATTTGGCTGTGACTGAGATGGCCTCTCTCTTCCCAAAGGTAAGGGGCCAGAGGGAGGAGGACGGGGCGGGTGTGGACACCCCGGGCCCGGTCAGCACTCACAGCTGCAAGTGCGAGGCCTCTCTCCCTCTCCTCCAGAGACCCGCCCTGGAGCCCGTGCGCAGCTCGCTGCGGCTGCTCAACGCCAGCGCCTACCGGCTGCAGAGCGAGTGCCGGAAGACGGTGCCCCCGGAGCCGGGCGCCCCGGTGGACTTCCAGCTGCTCACTCAGCAGGTGATCCAGTGCGCCTACGACATCGCCAAGGCCGCCAAGCAGCTGGTCACCATCACCACCCGGGAGAAGAAGCAGTGACCACTCTCCCCGCACCCTCACCCGCACCCTGGGACCTCACTGGCCACGGGAGAGGGGCCACTCCAGACACTAACCCCCACCCCGACAGCCGCTGGCGCCAAGTGCCCTTAGTGCTGCCACTCTCCCTGGGCAGCCAGGCACCCTGGTGCCCGTCCCCTCACGCCCCCCAGGACGGGGAGGTGGGGTGGCAGGAGCTCCTGTCCCCCACATTCCATGCACCTCCCCTGTACATAGCGCCCCCCCCCCTTCCCAGCGTGCAGGGGCCGAAAGGCGTCACTCCCAGCCCCATGCCCTCCAGAGCCCCCTCAGCAAAGGGCCTGGTGGGGACACTCCAGGGGCGCTCCCCCTTACATGCACCCCACCCCCATGAGCCAGTTCAGCCCTACTGGGGCTGAGTGGGGGCACCCCTCCTTTGTACATAACCTCTGTGGATGTCCCATCCTGTAGCCACCAGCCCCCATGCTGCTCTCCTTCAATGCCAAACGGCCCCACCCTGTGCCCGGGGTCCCCAGCAGCAAACACTGGAAAACCTTTTTTCTTTTCTCTCTCTCCACCCTTAATTTTAACATCGTGGTAACTAAGTGTCCCTGCGTGTGAGTGCATGGGGCGGCAGTGCCGTTCCGGAGGCTGGTCCGTTTGAGGGTGAGGGGACCAGAGCAGCAGGGCCAGTGTGGGGGTCAGCCCCCCTCACCCATCCTGGGGCCAGGGACTGCCCATTGCCTCCCTCATCACTTCCACCACTGTGCTCCTTCTCCATAAACTTAAACGAAAACCACTCCCCTCTGTCTGCCCTTGCCCTCCCTGTGGAGAGGGGGGTGCTGGCTGGGGCAGAGCACTGAGCACTGAGCCTGGGGCTGGCTCCCTGGGGTCCCTGACTCGGCCGAGAGCCCCCCCTATAACCTCTGAGAGGCTAGCACCTGTGTCTGCATTCGGGTACCTGGAGCCTGGGCTGCAGCTGGAGGCAGATGACAGCGCCCACCAGCTCTTCTCCCCTCCTGCCTCTGCCCAAGGGCCAGGCTCTACCTGTGTGGTGGTGGGTGGGCTGCTGTCAAGATGTGTATCCTGTACATTTGTATCAAAAATAAATAAGTGACCATGTGCTGTGTCTGATGCTTAGAGAATTGAGGGGAAGGGCTGGGGAGGTGGCAAACATGAAAGGGAGAAGGTGAATGTGTCAGGAGTATGAAGCAAATGAATGCAGCTCCTCACTGAGGGAGGGCAGCCGCCTGCTGTCTGGGAAATAAGGTGCAGCAAGCACCACCTCCATTCCCCCTCACCCCGAATACCCTGCCTCACAACCTAAACGGCCTAGGGCAGTGTCACGGGTGGGAGCGAGTATGTCTGTACAAACGCAATACAAGATTCTACCAAAATAATTTAGTTAAAAATACATAAGAGTTTTGGCAAAGGCGGCTAACACGGCTCCTTTTCCTTCCTGGGCCTCCCTTCCCCACAAACAATACATTGAGAACCAACCCCCTGCAGGTGCTCCACCGGCCACCAGAGGGCGGCCCTGCGCGGTCCACGTGGCAGAGGGCGGCCTGGGGAGGAGGGCGGGGCGGCCCGCGGCGGCCGGGCGGTCAGTCGGAGCTGTCCCCATCGGGGCCGCTGCCCTGCGTGGCCGGGAGGAGGGGTCTCCGGCGGGAGCGCTTGACCCGCCGCGGGGGCATCAGCAGCCGCCTCTTCAGCACAGCTGGGGGCGGAGGGGAAGCGTCAGGGGCGGGCAGCCCCGGGGCGGGCCGGGTGGCGAGGAAGGGCACTCACCGGCCACGGTGTCCTGGCTGTCCGCCACGGGCCCCCAGTAGACGCTCTCCCCGCGCCGGAAGTTGCGGTGCAGCCGCGTGCAGAGGGTGGCCAGGGTGAGCAGCACCAACAGAAAGGTCAGGGCCATGGCGGCCCAGGCAGCTTCCTCCGTGCGCGGGGTGGGGCCCCGGGCCCGCGGCGGCGCTGCTGCTGCTGCCCGCGGGGCTGGGGAAGCCTGGCCCGGACAGGCACAGCCACCGGGGCTGCTTTGCCCTCTGGGCACCTGGGCCTCCATCCTGGAGCTGGCACTGCCTGGAGGCCCCCCAGGTAGCAGGGGCGCAGTGGGCACAAACGGAGCATCGCCCCCTTCACCTGGGGTTCCTAGCTTGGGCTTCCTGGTCTCCACGCTCCATGCGGAAGCAGAGGGGAGCCTCGGGGCTGAGGAGGCAGGCTGGAGGCCCAGGGCCGCCCGCAGCCCACGCCTCTTGGCGCCCCCGGGAAAGTGCTGCCCGGGCCCTCTAGACACCGCCTCTGGGCCCGGGGGCCGCCAGCTCCGCAGAGTAAAGGCCAACGCCGGGGCCTGGGGGAGAAGAGACAGCTCTCATCCTCTCTCCCAGGTAACCCAGCGACCACACCACCAACCACGCTGGGCCCCACGCCTCACCTGCACACACCCTCTGCGGCACAGCCTCCCTCTGCCCGCCGCTGGCGCCGAGGGAGAGGGCCGAGAGAGGAACTGCGCCTTCTTCCTCTGCCTCTTCCACCGCCTCCTCTTCAGCAAGCGGGCAGCCCAGGCTGGCTCCACCCATGCCATCTCCAGCACCACGCCCCATGCTTCCAACCCCAGGGGCTATGAAAGAAGGCAATTGTTAGGAGAGCTACCATGATGGTGGTGGTGGTGGGGACAAGAGGAAGCCCCCAAATTTCCCTCTTCCTGCACACGGGGCTACAGCCCCGCCAGTGTCGACAGCTGACTTGCACCCACCACGCACCCGGTCCTGAGTGAGGCTGGAGTCAGGAGCCAATGGGGGCTGGGCCACATGCACGTGGGCCAGGACGACGAGCTGGAGCTTTAGCCAGGGGTGGGCGCAGGGATGGTAGAGGAAGCGGACATTTTCCGCCTGCAGGAAAGGCATGGAGATATCAAGCCAGGCCAGGGCCTTCTCTGATAATCCCAAGTTCTCCCATCCTGGGGCCAGGTTAAAGGGACTCCCAGGATGGCAGCACGACCCTCCCACCAGGCGGGCTGGGGAAAGGAAGAGGGATCCTGGGTAGTGGCATGCACTCCCTCTCGCCTCTGAGCATTCCTCTCACCCCTCCTCCATCAAGTGCCACCCCTCAGAGTTCGCAGCTCCCATGACGGTGCGTCTGGTTATCCCAGTCAGACTCCGACCACACTCGTTAGCTGCATTTCTCTGCACCTGCCATGATGGTCCTTCAGGTCCTCAGCCTACACTGTAAGCATCCCCTCTTTGGAGACTAAGTCTTCGTCTCACTGATCCTATCTATTGATACATAATCAGTCTCCTAAAGGCATCCAGAGACAGGGCACACGGGTGCACAATCCCAGAATGGGAACACTTGATCAATTATTAATATTCTTTGATTGAAGGACTTGTATACATGCATATAAGCACAATCAATGGACACAAAACTCTGGGGAGGGAGGACATGTCTGGGAGGGGGGGCAATGGTATATATACAAAGATAATAATTTAATAAAAATTTTTTAAAATATATATATTCTTTGATTGAGCTGACCTGTGCCAGATGCTGTAGGAGATGCCTAAAGAGAACTCATGGACTCCACTTGCAGGGAATGTAAAGGAAACTCAGGGAAACAGACTAATGCAAATGAAAGAGCAAGCTAATAAAACTCAAACTGGTTAGTTGTTAAATTATAAGACTTAATAGATCCAAGATGGTGGCTTAGGTAAACACACCTAAACTGCTGCCTTGCACAATTTCAAAACTACAACTGAAAGACAAAACGTCACCGAAACCGGTTTGGCTCAGCAGATAGAGCGTCGGCCTACGGACTGAAAGGTCCCGGGTTTGATTCCGGTCAAGGGCCTGTACCTTGATGCAGCACATCCCCAGTGGAGGGTGTGCAAGACAGCTGATCGATGTTTCTAACTCTCTATCCCTCTCTCTTCCTCTCTATAAAAAATCAATAAAATATAAGTAAAAAAAAAAAAAAAGAACGACTAAGGTTATTTAAAAAAATAAAAATAATAAAAAAATAAAAGATAAAACGTCTATCAACCAGAACCACGAGAAAGCTGGCTGAGTGGAAGTTATACAACTAGACTGAAAGAGAAAGGAGAATTCCGGCACAAGCTCTGAAAGACTGAGGGGGGGGGGGGGGGTGGCACATGCGACACGGGCTGGCAGCAGATCTGGCTGGCAGAGGGCATTGCTTTCTTCAACCCAAAGAGAGACAAGTTCCCAGTCTCTGAAGCTGGGGAGAAGCTGGACTGTCTTCCATCGGGTCGGAAAGCCTGCTTGCAGAGCTGTGTGCAAGAATAATTGTTTGCTGTGCTGGGGCGTGAGACTCGGGGACAGGGTCCGAGAGGCAGAGATAGCTGACTGGCAGCTGTCACTGTTTGCCACGCCCTAGCCTAGTGATGCCCTGAGACTCCACCCCCATGATATACAAACACACCCAAGCTCCAAGCAGCAGCTTTTGCATATGAATGGCCTTTTATATTGCAGTTTAACCTAGCAAACTTGCAATCCTGAGCAGACAGCTCAAAAGCCTCCAAGCTCCAAGCAGGGAGGAGAGGACTGTGGTTCGCTACAGGGTGGCCTCAGACAGTAGCTGAACTGCACCCCATTGGAGATCCAGAAGCCTGTGTACCTAATGGTCAGTGTGAGGCACCAGATTTCAACTCCTCACATCCATAAGTGACACATTCGAGAGGCAGACTCAGTGAGCACCAAAGCCCCACCGAAACAAAGACTGCACCATAAGCGTGTCTTCAGCACAGCTGTTCTTCCATTATAGACACAGCGGGTCCTCACAGCCAATTGGCCTGGAGGTCAATTCCTCCCAATCAAGGCTTAACTACACCAAGACTTTGCACTCAGCCCACAAAGGGGTGTACCAAGAGCAACCACCTCAGGTGATTGGGGAAGCTGAGCTACTGGCCCCTATAGGTCACCGACCACACAAAGCCACTCCATCAACGCAGGGAGGAAGCCAAAATGCGGAGACACAGAAGCATGTCATGAATGAAAGAGATGGAGGAAAGTAAACTACTGGATGACACAGAGTTCAGAATCACATATATAAGGTTACTCAAGAATCTTCTAAAAACTGCTGAGAAACTTGAAGAGACCTTCAAGGGCCTTAATGAGAATATATAAAAAATAAAAAATAAAAAAAAATAATAAAAAAAAAGGACCAGTCAGAAATTAAGCATACACTGTCTGAAATAAAGAATATACAGAAACTCAACTGTAGATCAACGTACCCCAAGAGTCAAACCAAAGATCTGGAATATGAGAAAACAAAAAACACCCAACCAGAGAGGCAGAAAGAAAGAAGAATCCAAAAGTATAAGGATAAGTAAGGAGCCTCTGGACGACCAACATCCGGATTTTTGGGTGCCAGAAAAAGAGAGAGCAGGATATTGAAGGCCTATTGAAAGAAATAATGACAGAAAACTTTCCTTACCTGGTGAAAGAAATAGTCGAGGAAGCACACAGAACCCCAAACAAGAGGAATCCAAAGAGGACCACACCAAGACACATCATAATTAAAATGCCAAGGGCAAAAGACAAAGAGAGAATCTTGAAAGCAGCAAGAGAAAAACAGTTATACAAGGGAGTACCCATATGACTTTCAGCTGATTTCTCAACAGAAACTCTGCAGGCCAGAAGGGAGTGGCAAGAAATATTCAAAGCTATGAACACCAAGAACTTACAACCAAGATTACTCTACCCAGCAAAGCTATCATTCAGAATTGAAGGTCAGATAAGAGCTTCTCAGACAAGAAAAGCTAAAGGAATTCATCACCACCAAATCATGATTACATGAAATGCTGAAGGGTATTCTTTAAGAAGAGGAGGAAGAAGAAAAAGGTAAAGGTAAAAACTATGAACAACAAAAAGACATCTAATACCTACCAACAAGTGAATCTAAAAATCAAGGGAATAAAAAATCTGAAGAACAGGCCGAGACCAGTTTGGCTCAGTGGATAGAGCGATGGCTTGGGGACTGAAGGGTCCCGGGTTCGATTCCGGTCAAGGGCATGTACCTTGGTTTCGGGCACATTCCCAGTAGGGGGTGTGCAAGAGGCAGCTGATCGGTGACTCTCTCTCATCGATGTTTCTATCTCTCTCCCTTCCTCTCTGTACAAAATCAATAAAAAATATATTTTAAAAAAATCTGAAGAACAGAATGAACTGGTGAATAGAAACAGGGACACAGAAAGGGAGTGGACTGACAGTTCTCAGGGGATCTGGGGGGTGTGGGAAGAGATTGGACAAAAGCCTCACACCTATGGATGAAGAAGACAGTGGCAGGGGGGAAGGGCATGGAGAATCAGGGGAATCAGGTGGAGGGGCGCTATGGGGGGGCGGGGGAGAGAAAGAGGAACACCTGTAATAATCTGAACAATATTTATTACATAAAAAATAAATAAATTATACGACTTAAGTTATAAGCATTACGCAAATTTAGAGAAGGTGATGAATAAGGGATGATGTGATCAGGCAAGGTCTCATGGGAGAGCTGATCCCTGCACTGGGCTTTGAAGATGGACGCGTATGGATGGTACCCGTGTTTCCCTGAAAATAAGACATCCTCCGAAAATAAGACCTAGGGCATGGAAAGATAAGACATCCCCTGAAAATAAGACCTAGCGCCACTTTGGGAGAAAAAAATTAATATAATAAGACACTGTCTTATTTTCGGGGAAACAGGGTAGGTGGCCAGGGGGCTTCCTGCTTCAGCTTCAGGACAGGAGCGAAGGTGCAGCCATGGGGATGCGCTCGGCTCTCACACGTGCGGTCGGTGAGCTGCGGATCTGGAGGTCAGACAAGGCTTAATTGACGAGGCCAGGCCTGAAAGCCAGGCAAGGGAGAGCGGTGGTGATAAGGTGGGAAATGAGCCACCCAAGGTTTCTGAACAGCAACATGATTCCGTGAAAGGGATGTGTGAGGAAAGGAATCAGGTAGGTGGAATGAGGGCTCTTGGCCTGGAACTATCACAGGATAAAAAAAATAAAATAAAAAAGTGAGATTTTTCAAAAGGAAAACCAAAGGGATATGGAAGCTATCTGGCCACTGGCAAAAACAGAGGCAGCCATGCAAGGCGAACCCACAGTTTGGGGCCTGGCAATCTGAGGCACCTCCTTACACAGCACAGCTTCGTCCTCTGCGCAGTGCGGTCACACACTAGGCATTTCCTCCTCCTGGGGAGGGCGTCACTGATATCCGCTCTTACAGAAAACGGGGGCCCAGAGAAGCGGAGAGAATTCCTGTCATACAGCAGATCGGGAGCATGAGCTGTTGTCTTTTCTACTCTCGTCCTGCCCGCACAGCAGCCACTCAACTGACTGCATTCCCCGCACCGCACACAGAGGACTCAGAACATTTGCCCCCTCCCGAGGGAAGTGGGAACACACGGGGGTGCTGAGCTGAAAAGGCAGAGGAAGCCTGCAAGTGCAGACACCTGTGTGGCTCCTGCTAGGACTCACCTGCCGTGGGCTCGTCCGTGTGACAGTCACTCTGGGTGACACCTACAGGTGGGGGAAGAGAGAGCTTCAGGCAGCTGGGAGGCTCCGTGTGGGGCGTGGGGAGGGGACACTAAGCCCCGGGCCTCCAGGCTGGGATGAAGACACGGGCGACTGAGGATGGAGGGACCGAGGGGGACTGTGCAGGCGCAGAGGGGCCGGAGCGGGGCTGGGCCGCCCCTCACGCCCTCTCTCACGCCGCCCTCCGGGCTCCTACCTGTTGGGGCAGAGGCCACAGGCCCTCCGGACAGGCGGCTCCCGCCTCCTCCTCCGCCGGCTCAGCCATCACCTGTGGGTCCAGGGCGCAGAGGAGCCTGGGCGCTGGCTCCGCGAGGGCCCTGCCCTCTCCCGCCCAGGCCCCGCCGCCGGGGCGGACTCAGTCCCCGCTCCGCGCGCTCCTCCCTCCGGGACCAACTTTGGGCCAAGAGCTCGGAGGCTTCTCCGGAGCGGGTCGCCTTACCTCCACGGGGCGCAGGAGCCCCGCCAGGGCGGCCAGGAGGAGCAGCTGGGGCGAAGGCGGAGGAGGCGCCATCCCAGACCCGGCCCGCCGCCCGGGAGGGAGGGACGGAGGGAGGAGGGAGGACGGAGGGAGGAGGGAGGACGATGGGAGGAGGGAGCGCGCGCCGCCCCGCCCCTCCTCGCCCGCCCCGCCCCGCCCCGCGCGCCCACGTAGGCCCCGCGCTGGAGCGCGCCTCCCCGTCCCCCTCCGGCCCCCGCTCCGCGCGCGCCCGGCGCCCTGCTCGCCCGCCCGCCCGCCCGCCGCGCGCGCCGCTCTCCCCCGCCCCGCCCCGCCCCGGACCCCGGACCCCGGGCCGGAAAAGTTTGTGCGGGTCCCGCCGAGCGCAGCGCGCCGCAGGGCAGGCGGGGCCGCCTCCTGCGCTCTGCACCGGCCCGGCGCCCGGCTGCGGTCGGGAGCGATCGGGGAGCGGGCGGCGGCGGCCCGGAGGAGAGACAGCAAACTGGCTCCGGACCGTCCGTGTGAACCAGGCGGATCACCCCGTCCGAGCGGAGGGGGAAGAGCTTTCCGCCCTAGAGCCTCGCCGTCAGCCCGTCCGGCTCCTGCCCTCGCCCACAGGGCCGGCCCGGCCTGGAGGGTCTCAGACCTCCGCCTCCCCCCCCCCCCCCGCACACACACTCCGCCCCGGGCGCTGGGGAGGCCGGGGCCGCCGGCAGCTGCTGCTCCCACTCCGCCTCCACCCGGTCCCTGGGCAGCCTGTGCCCCGCGGCACGGCCACCTGCGGGGGGCCACGGCCTCGTCCCGGCGGGCGGCGGTGGCCCGGCCTCCCCGCCGCGGGCGCTGCTTCCGCAGGCCTCTCCCCGGCCCCTCCCCCCCTCCGGCCCCCTCTCCCCGGCCCTCCAGCCCCTTTCCCCCCCCCCCCCGGCCCTCAGCTCCCTCCCCCCGGCCCCTCTGGCCCCTTCCCCCCGGCCCCTCTGGCCCCCTCTCCCCGCCCGCCCCTCCGGCCCCCTCCCTCCCCGCAGCCCCTCCGGCCCCCTCTCCCGGCTCCTCAGAACGGGATTGAAGGTGAAGGGTGAGATGAGATGCCTGGCCCCAGCTTCCAGATGGAGGAGGAAGGTGTTACTTCAGCCTCTCTCACACACCTGCGGCTCACAGAGGGGCTCCTGCCTCCTTCCCGTCCCCCCGACCCCGTCCCCCGTCCCCCCGTTACTGCCAGCCACTGAGGAGATGAAGGGACCCCAGCCTATGCCCTGCCACAGCCCTCACCCCGCACCCCAGTGTGCCCTTCCTCCAGCTCAGGAGGCAGGGGCCGTTTCTTCTGGGGAAGTCCTTCCTAGGGAGCGGTTTGGTGTTTTAAAAATATATCTTGCCGGGACCGGTTGACTCAATGGATAGAGCGTCGGCTTGGGGACTGAAGGGTCCCGGGTTCGATTCCGGTCAAGGGCATGTACCTTGGTTGCGGGCACATCCCCAGTAGGGGGTGTGTAAGAGGCAGCTGATCGATGTTTCTCTCTCATCGATGCTTCTAACTCTCTCTCTCCCTTCCTCTCTGTATAAAATCAATAAAGATATCTTTATTGATTTCGGAGAGGAAGAGAGAGAAACACGATGAGAGAATCAGAGAGAATCATTGATGGGTTGCCTCCTGCACGCCCCCTACTGGGGATTGAGCCCGGAACCGGGCACGTGCCCTTGGCCGGAATGCGGAATGGAACCTGGGACCTTCAGTTCGCAGGCCGAGGCTCTATCCACTGAGCCGAACCGGCGAGGGCCTGGGGCGCGGTTTTAAAGGTCGATCTGAAGCCAGGCTCCTGGCGGGAGCCTCACGCTCCGCGGGCAGAGGCACCGCGCACCGCTGAGGCCGGACGCGCAGCCCACGACGCTCCGGGCGCCGGCGCCAGGCCCCGCGGGCGCGGGTGTTGCGCAGCGGCCGGTGCCCACGGGGCCGAGAGAAACTCCAAGGTCAGGGAGCGCGGCCGAGCCCGGGGGAGGCGCGGCGGGTGCCTTCGGCGGCCGCGCCGGGAGCCGGGAGCCGCGGTCCATTCGCTCCTCTTTGCTGCTTCCCAGGAGCGGCCCCCGGGGGCGCGGAGACGCGGGGTCCCCGGCAGCCACGCCCCGCGCCGGGCGGAGGAGCGGGACAGGGACTCCTGCTCATCCCGGTCCCCCAAGCCCTGGCCTCGGAGTCTCCCTACTTCTCCGCCGCCAACACCCCATTCCTCGGCCGGTTGCCCTCCCCGCTCCCTCCCGACTGACGGGCGCGTCCCCGTCCCTCTCCGTGGCCTCGATTCCCTTCACCCTCTGCTCCGCTTGTCGCAATCGCTGTACAAAGGGCCGGGGGCGGGCGCGGGGGGCGGACGAGGGGAGCCGGGCCCGAACTGGCTGCCTCTCCGGGGCCGCGGCCAATCCGGAGCGCGCCCCCCCGCGCGGGAGGGCCCTGGGCACCGCCGCCGCCGCCGGGCGGAGCCGCGGGCAGAGCGGGGAGCCGCGGAGGGGACAGCCCGGTCGCCCGCCGCCGCCGCCCGCGGGGCCTCTCCCCCTCGCCATGCCGCCGTGGGGCGCCGCCCTCGCCCTGCTCCTGGCCGCGATCGCCCTGCTCGGCCTGCTGGCCCCCCGGCTGCTGCGGCGCCTCGGGAGGCGCGCCGTCGGAGCCGGGACCCCGCCGGGGCCCGGGGGCCCGGACGCCGAGGAGGAGGAGGCGGACGGCGGAGGCCCCGCGGACCGGTTCGGCCCCGGGCGCGAGGCGCTGCCCGGCGGCTGCCGGCTCCTGTGCAAGCCGTCGGCGCTGGCGCAGTGCCTGCTGCGCGCCCTGCGGCGCTCGGCGGCGCTGGAGCCGGGCCCGCGCTCCTGGCTCTCGGGGCCCCACCTGCAGACCCTCCGCCACTTCGTGCTGCCGGCCGGGCCGGGCCCCGAGCTGGCCCGCGAGTACCTGCAGCTGGCGGACAACGGGCTGGTGGCCCTGGACTGGGTGGTGGGACCGTGCGCGCGGGGCCGTCGGGTCACCCACGCGGGGGGCCTCCCCGCGGTGCTGCTGGTGATCCCCAACGCGTGGGGGCGCCTCACGCGCAACGTGCTGGGCCTCTGCCTGCTCGCCCTGGAGCGCGGCTACTACCCCGTCATCTTCCACCGCCGCGGCCACCACGGCTGCCCGCTGGCCAGCCCCCGGCTGCAGCCTTTCGGGGACCCTTCCGACCTCAAGGAGGCGGTCACCTACATCCGCTTCCGACACCCCGCGGCGCCGCTGTTCGCCGTGAGCGAGGGCTCGGGCTCGGCGCTGCTGCTGTCCTACCTGGGCGAGTGCGGCTCCTCCAGCTACGTGACCGGGGCCGCCTGCATCTCGCCGGTGCTGCGCTGCCGCGAGTGGTTTGAGGCCGGCCTGCCCTGGCCCTACGAGCGGGGCTTCCTGCTCCACCAGAAGATCGCCCTCAGCAGGTGGGTAACGGGCCGCAGACAGGGCGGGGGTAACCGGGTCTTGGGCAGAGCGAGTCCCAGCTCTGCCCGGTGTGGACTCAGGTCCTGAGTGTGTGCCAAGTCCCCACACCCTGTCTGCAGCTGCCCAAGCCCTCCAGGCTAGAGAGAGCCGGGAGCTGGGTTAAAAGCCATGGAAAACTCAGTCAGCATCTTTATCCTCCGCAGGGCCTCCCGCCCTGGGCCCCCCGGGCCGCGACACAGCCTCGCCGTGTCCTAGCAACCTGAGCGCGGGCCCCATCCCTGTCCCAGGCAGCGCCTGACGTGTACCGCTTAGTCCGCAGCCTGTCAAATCAGCAAAGAGGGCTCTGCAAGCGATTGCAGCTGGCTATCTGTCCAGAATGTTCCCTCACAGTCTTTGAGCGTGGCGGTGACGGGAATAAAACCATGTGGAGGTGTTTGTTTAAAATCTTTAGACCCAACAAATATTTTGCATATTCCTATGTGCTTAATACGTAAGGCAAAAATTTAAAGAATATTTAAACACAATTAAAAAAAAAAAAAACTCCATAAAGAGAACATTCTACCCTATCATCAGGCATATAGGTGGGACTTTTCCCACAGCACTAACCAGGCCGCGGCTTGCACCGTGGCTCCCCTAGAGAGGCAGAATGAGGTCAGAGACATGTGGATAACAGTCTGCTGGGGCAGAAAGACCCGAGATGTGGGCGCAGGTCAAGGGTTCAAACCCTGAATTTCTAGCAAATTAGCGATCTCCTTGGAGCTCGGTTCTCTCCTCAGTTAAATGGAGTTAATAATAACTCCCTCCCCAGGTGCGCATATGCATGAAATGAGGCCATCAAAGTGAGCTTTGCCTCCTGTTCTGAAATCAAATCCTGAGCTCAGTAACAGCAGGCTGCCATGACAACCCAGAGCTTCCAGAGCAGTCCAGGAGCAAGGTGCTCTGTTGGGGCTTAAGTGCCAGCTTCCACCCCCCACCTCCCCACCCCCACCCCCCCAGCACCAGCTGAAGGATAAGGTGAGTGAAGTGGAGAGGAAACCCGAGCCTTCAGTAACTAACCTGGTTCTTGGAAGTTTGGGATGAAAGACTCAGGGCAAATCTCTGAATGATTCCAGGAGACACACATCCAAATTCAACGGACAACTGCTGGATTGAACCCTCAAAGGTCTCAGCTGCCCATGCCGGCCTCCTCATCGGGGGCCCCAGGCCTTCTCCAGGGAGGTGGCAGCAGCAAAGATGTCCCTCTTCCCCAGAACAGTTGCTCTCAGGCTCCCATCACTTACAGTCACGCCTCTGCCATCCAGCCCCCTAGGAAAACCTCCTCCACACCCTCCTTACCTGTCAGTATTATCTGGGTAGCATATTGGCTTTTAACACACACACACAAATCAATACACCCTAAAATAAAATGCTAATTATAGGGGTGCAACCTGCTGGTTTAGATAGTCAGAGCCAGTGAGTTATTCTAGGAGGGGTTCAGGAGGTGGCAGTTCATTGCAAGTGCCCACAGAGGGGAGAGCTATCGTCCCTGTAGCTCAGCAGCTATACAGTCAAATGCTGCCCTCCCCCCCCCCCCCCCTGTGCTGGGCAGGTAATGCCACGAGGGACAGATTTGGTAAGAACCTGACACAGGAGGGAGGAAATACCGATTGTTGCCCTCAGGACTGCCAGCCCACCTCGCCAGATCTTCTCATTTGTCTAAAGAAACCTGACAGCTGCTTTTTATTTATTTTTGTTTTGTTTTTAAAAATATATATTTTATTGATTTTTTTACAGAGAGGAGGAGAGAGGGATAGAGAGCTAGAAACGTCGAGGAGAGAGAAACATTGACCAGCTGCCTCTTGCACATCCCCTACCGGGGATGAGCCTGCAACCAAGGTACATGCCCTTGACCAGAATCGAACCTGGGACCTTTCAGTCCGCAGACCAACGCTCTACCCCTGAGCCAAACTGGTTTCGGCTGCTTTTTTTTTTTTTAATTTAAAATATATTTTACTGATTTCAGAGAGGAAGGGAGGAGAGAGACAGAAACACCAATGATGAGAATCATTGATCGACTGCCTCATGCATGCCCCACACTGGGGATCCAGCCCACAACCCGGACATGTGGCCTGACCGGGAATTGAACGGTTACCTCCTGGTTCATAGATTGATGCTCAACCACTGAGCCACATCCACCGGGCTGATAGCTGCATTTCAAATGATGACAGTGAAATGGACATTTTAAAAAACATTATATGGCCAAAGAAAGCCTCTGTGGTCAGAATCTGGCTTGTGAGCTTCCAATTTGTTGATTTGCTTTCTAATTCTCCCCTCTCTCCCCTGCTCACCTTGTTCACCTTCTTGCCACCAGGTACATGACGGCCCTGGAGGACACAGTGGACACCCACAAGCTGTTCAAAAGTCGCTCCCTGCGAGAGTTTGAGGAGACCCTCTTCTGCCACACCAAGAGCTTCCCCATCAGCTGGGACGCCTACTGGGACCACAACGACCCCCTCCGGGATGTGGACGAGGCGGCCGTTCCGGTGCTGTGTATCCTCAGCGCCGACGACCCCGTGTGCGGGCCCCCAGACCACTTCCTGCCCACGGAACTCTTCCGCAGCAACCCCTACTTCTTCCTCCTGCTCAGCCGCCACGGCGGCCACTGCGGCTTCCTGCGCCAGGACTCCCTGCCAGCGTGGAGCCACGAGGTCATCCTGGAGTCCTTCCGGGCCTTGACGGACTTCTTCCGAACAGAAGAGAGGATGAAAGGGCTGAGCAAGCACCGGGGCTCGTTCCTAGGCGGCCGGCGTCGCTGGGGAACCCTGCAGAAGCGGGAGGCCTCTTCCTCTTCCAGCCTGGATGAGATCTTCAGCTGGAAGCGATCGTACACCAGGTGAGACCTGGTGGCAGAACACGCCGTCCTGCACGGGGAGCAGAGGGCTGAGTGGGGCAAGCAGCTGCAGCTCTTGCCACTGATTCAGCCCTTTCTTCTCTCCCGGTCTGTGGAGAGAGGGGAGCTCGCAGCTAGCTGCTACTTACTTGACCCTGAGCACAGCTCCTGCCCAGGCTCTGCTCAGCACGTTCCTGCTGATCCCCGTCAGCAGCTGGATGTTCCTGGTCATTGTCTCCTGTCACCGACCACGAAAGCCAAACACTAGCACCTTTTAAACCCACGGATTCAGAGTAAAACGCTTTCCCGCCAGCACTGACTACAAGAAGATGGGTTTCTGTGTCGTCGGGGAGCTCTGTCCCACATAAATAATCAGCTCTGTGACCCTGATGCTCACGCTGAAGCCACTTCTGTAGCGAGGACAGGAAGTCTGAGTCTCGGTTCCACTTCCCTCGTTTCATTCTGTGGTTGTGGCACCTGCTGACGTCAGGCAGGTTGTGGATGTGGCCTTGAAGAGCCGCTGAGAAAGGCGGCAGAGGCCCTGAGTGCAATGCTGAGCTGGGGTCAGGAAGAGCCACAAGGGAGAGACTGTGAATGCCGGTCTGGAATACTGAGGCCCGTCTTCTGCAAGTTTCCATGGGGAATGGCGCTGATCTGAGGCTTCAGCCTAGGACCTCAAGCCCCACTGGACAGACCCCAAGGATGATTTTAGGAACAGGAAGTCCTCGAACACAGTTTACTAGCCCATGGCTCAAGAAGCCAGACTCCCAGGCACGTTAGCTGCTCCCTCTGGTTCCATGTCTGGGGATTGTTACTCCAGAAAGCTCTGGCCAGAGCTGCTTTTCTCTTGGGACGTGGGCTTTCTCTAAGTGGTGAAAAGTATAAACCTCGAATCTTAGGTGTTGTTTGGTTAGCTGCCCTCTTTACTATCAGCCTCTCCATCTCCAGAACCTGGAGAAACATCTGGGACCAGGGAAAACAAAAAGTTCCAAGATGTTGGCTAGAACTGAATCAGTAACTTATAAATATTTCACACTACCATGCTTTTTCTGCTCAATTATTCCAAAGGCCACTCATGTAGATGCAGAAGCAGCTGAGTGGGGTGTGTGTTGTATGAGGAATAATGCTGAAGACCAGTGGTGTAACGTAAGGTATTGTACACAGTGACCCACGTGTCCCGGTTTGGGTTGTTAGACCATTAAACAATCCAGCAGGACATCTAAGTGCTGCTAAGAGCTTTGTCCTGAAGTTTTATTTAACTTCGTCATTGAGAAAGCGGGCATCTGTTTTGACTGGAAGCTTCATCCTTGCCTCATAAACAGCAAAGCAAGTTTAAAGAGAAGAGATATTTATTGAAGCCATGTCCTAAGACAATGACTTCTGGGGCCATGATTTCAGGTTTGAATAATATTTTCTTAATACATTTTATTGATTTTTTTTTTAAAGAGAGGAAGGGAGAGGGATAGAGTTAGAAACATTGATGAGAGAGAAATATCAATCAGCTGCCTCCTGCACCCCCCCACTGGGAATGTGCCCACAGCCAAGGTACATGCCCTTGACCGGAATTGAACCTGGGACCCTTGAGTCCGCAGGCCGATGCTCTATCCACTGAGCCAAACCGGTCTGGGCAGGTTTGGATAATCTTAAGCCTTATTCTTCTAGATCAAATAAGAAACTCTGAACTATCCAAGAATCTAAACAACATTCAATTGTCTAAGGCACATTCTCCTGTCATGAAAAAAAAATGACCTTCCTCCTTTCCCATGTCTTGCTGCTCTGCACACTCATCTAACGGTCTTCCACTGTTTCTGAGCAGGAGGAGTAACAAGGAACTGAAATCTAAAGAGGCCGTTCACTGCTGGTTAACAACTTCCTTGTGAGGCTGGGTGCAGGAGAACGGCTGACATCAGCCCCCTCTCCCCCAACATCAGGTACAATTGGAATTTCAGTTAATTAGGGGCCCACAGTCCCATATGAAGTCACTCCAAACTGACTGCAAAATGGGAAGCAGCCCATTGGTTTGAAACAGCCCTGTTTCTGGCTTAAATGGCCTCCAAGATCTAAATCTGTATTGCCAGGTACCCCAGAACTCTGGTTCTTTAAGATAATAATAGCTTTTTGAGAAGTCATGGTTATTTCCCTTTCCTTTTATAGGAAAGTCTGCAGGGGGAAAGAAAAAAAATATATAGAGAGAAATACTGATATATATATATATATATAGATAGATAGAGAGAGAGATACTGTCTTAAAGCCTTCAGCCCTCAGATAGGCAGGACAGCTCTGGTCCAGGCTCCGTTAATTCCCTGAGACCCACAATCCTAATGACCTAAATCAGCAATTTTCAACTTTTCAATTTTCATCTCACAGCACACATAGACTAATCATTAAAATTCTGCAGCACACCAAAAATATATTTTTGATGATCTAAAAAAAAAATTGGTATGATTTTGATTGACTTACAAAACTAATAATACTAATTATCTACCCTTTTTGCTCTAAAGTGATTTAAAAAAAAAATCAAGTGGCTATACTTGTATATAAAGATTTCTGGTACCAAGAATTAACCAATCAGATGCAAACTTATTATACAACATCACCAATAAGATGCAACTTTGTTATATGACCTCTGTACTTATGGTTCAAGTCACAGCATTCACACCAGACAGCTATTGTTGTGTTGGTTGTTGTCACTTTTTAATTTGACAACTGAGCCGAAACTGGTTTGGCTCAGTGGCTAGAGCATCGGCCTGCGGACTGAAAGGTCCCAGGTTCGATTCCAGTCAAGGGCATGTACATTGATTGCGGGCATATCTCCAGTAGGGGTTGTGCAGGAGGCAGCTGACCGATGTCTCTCTCTCATCGATGTTTCTAACTCTCTATCCCTTTACCTTCCTCTCTGTAAAAAATCAATAAAAAATATTTTTAAAAAAAATTAAAAATAATTTGACAGCTGAAGGGAATAGAGGTCAGTGCCTCTGACTAAAGAGGAGGGTATTGCACATTTTAGAAATTTCTTTGCGGCACAGAGGTTAAAAAATCACTGACCTAAACCCTGAAGTATTTCTCCATTCCCTTGTGCCAGATGTGCTCATAGTCTATCTCAGAAAGCTGCTTATCTTTCCTCTACAGCTTGACGACATCACTGCTTTTCAGCTCACTTCTGCCAAGAAAGTATAGTTCCTGTTCAAACAGGTTTGGGTGACCTTGTCCTTCAGTCTCATGATAAAGGAATCACCCAAATGGCTCTGCTTTGGTTAATGGCTAATTATATGAAACCAGCTTGAGGAACCCCAGACACATTATTCTGAACAAGATGACAGCTGATGAGTTTGAGAAAGCAAGAAACAAACACAACAAAACAATACAAAACCCAAAGGACTGCCCAGTTGAAGCTTTCCAGGTAGCAAGGCTTTAGCAGTCCTCTCAGGCCTCATTCAATTGCTTGACACCCTTTTGGTCTTTTCTTTATTTTTGAACACCTTCAAATGATAAGAAAGCCCTAACTAGTTTGGCTCAGTGGATAGAGCCTTGGCCTGCGGATTGAAGGGACCAGGTTCGATTCCAGTCAAGGGCCTGTACCTTGATTGCAGGCCCATCCCCAGTAGGGAGTGTGCAGGAGGCAGTTGATGGATGTTTTTCTCTCATCGATGTTTCTGACTTTCTATCCCTCTCCCTTCCTTCTGTAAAAAATCAATAAAATATATTTAAAAACACAAATGATAAGAAAGAAGACCCCACTGATTTAAATGAGGCATTATCTCAGAAGTAGAGATGGAATCCTCTGTCTCTGCTCATTGTATCAAAATGCAGGAAGCAGACAACTGCCTCTGAAGGTTTGAGTTCTACTAAGTTCTGACCTGATACCAAAGACTGCTAAACTATCATTTAACTCTCTTAAAGACTTAGTATTTATTTTATGTATTTATGCACAGGCTTCTGGAGTGGCTTGGCTGGAGTCAAAGGTATAAAAAACAAAGCACAAAAACCTCACTCTGAGAAGACATCATTTCTGTTTTGAATGAAGATATCCTTTCTAAGACTTGAGACTTGAGTATTGTTAGAAAAGAGACAGGAAGTGTTATCTTGCCTTTATATATAAAACCTCAAACCACCCGGACACAGCAGCTCCTCTGTCCTCACCTTCCGTGCAAACCACAAGATCCTTTGTGTCAGTTGCTCTTAGTAATGCCAAGCTCTTCCTTTACGAATGAACTTTAGCATGAATTCCTCTCCTTGCTTAAACAAGCAGGCACACTTGGCCACTTCGGTAGTTCTGACCTGATACAATGCCAATAAAAGTATTTTTGTGAATCTTCAGCCAAACCACAAAGGATGGCATCAGAATTGTACTCACTAGTTAACCACGGTTGGTAGAGATGAGATTGAGTTGTATCTGGAGAACATCCGAATGCCCGGATATGGGATGTATGCCTCAGGAAGCAGTAAGTTCCACATCAGATGTGGGATAAACAAACTAGACTGCCACTTGGCACACATTATAGAGGGGACATGTGCCAAGAAATAAGGTGCCCTAAGTTACATATAAGCTGTCTTCTCATTTGAGAGTTGGTGAGTTAAAATAGTGCTCAGAGTGGGTTGTAAAGACTTCTGGTTGAATTTTGGGTCTGAGGATCATGAGATCACAGACCGAGGAGTTGGGAAATGACAAAGGCCTTAATAAAAATAACCCTGCCAAAGTGACCAGAGGATGTTAAGATACCCAAGAAGTATGCTCTAAAGTGTTCAGGAAGAGCTATAACTTGAAGAAAAAGTGGAACTTCATTAAACCAATAAAAGACACAAACACAAAACATGTAATAAGGAAATACCTTGTTGTAGGGTTCATCACTAGTATGGTTGAACAAAAATCTCTCCATCTTGTTTGTTTCTGAATAGTAAATAAACTGCAGTCTCCCTGCAACAATGGAATGTCATTATTTTTTAAATCTCCAGAAACAAACGTGGTTTATCTCTTTAAGTCCTCTGTGTACTGAGCATGCTTACCTA